GGGCGCGCGCGCGCTCGTTTGAGTAAAATGTGAGCCTGCATCGCTGACACTGCGCAAGTGCATGCACCATGCCAGGCTGAGACAGGTGTCTCTTGGAGCATCAGGGGCCACCAGCTGACCAGGTGGCAGGGTGGCAGGACAACATCAAAGTCAGGGCAGCCCAGATTCCCCTCCCCTCACCCCAGTGAATGCATGCTCATCCCAGTGGCACACCTGGACGTCTGGCGGAATGGCATACCGCCCCAGCAGGACGGCCTGGATGTACCGCTTATCCCGCCCCTTGAAAGGGAAGGCGCCAAAGAGCATGGCAAAGAGGATGATGCCCAGCGACCAGATGTCGGCGACCTTGGCATCGTAGGTTGTGTAGCCCAGGTACACCTCCGGTGCCATGTAGCAGGTGGTTCCCACGCTGGTCTTGGGCAGGCTGTTCAGCTCATGCTTGGAGTAGCCAAAGTCGCACATCTTCAGAATGGGCCGGGGGCTGTCCGCCGAGTCGAGCAGCAGGTTCTCCAGCTTCAGGTCGCGGTTGGCTACACCACGACTGCCGGTATCAGAGAAGGGGAATGGGGGGATGAGGATGCCTTCTTCCCATGCAGTCCGGCGCTAGGATGGGACGGCACAGAGCCATGCATGCTGCTCGGTGCAGGCCCGTCGGTGGGAGTGACATCGGCCAGATGATGGCAGTGCTGCTGCCTCCCACTCCTGTCCCCCCATCCAAACTTGGCTCCCCAGCGCGCACCTGTGACAGTAGTCCAGCCCCACGACTAATTGCTGGAAGAACCACCGAGCTTCCTCCTCACACAGACGCATGGCAGGACGCCGGGTGATGTAAGCATGCAGGTCCCCACCGTTGGCACAGTCCATGACCACTCCAATGTGGGTTGGTGTCATGAAAACCTTGAAAGAAGAGTGGGGGGGAGGGGGGTGGCATGGCGAGAGTAGTTGCCGTTGCGAAGTCTTTGGTCCCGAGAGTCCCACTGCACATCGCACGAGTGTAAAGTTGCCCGCCATCATACCCTCGAAGACCACATTGCCGCGTCAGGGGACTCTTTCAACCAACACGGTTTTACAATCCTATGGATGGCCGCGTCTCATCCTGCAAGCAGCTGCTCCTGTCACACAGCCAGCGCCCACCCACCTCTCGCAACCGGATGATGGAGGGGTGTCGAAGGCTGGACTGATGCACAATCTCCCGCTTCACATAGGTCTTGTAGTTCCGTATCTGCACGAGCATCCAGGATCAAGGTGTGTACGGTTCCATGCAAGGTCATTCAGGGCAAACACCTCCGAAATCTCTTGCCAAGAGGCATGTGCAATCTGAGCGTTTAGTGGAACCTGCTGCCAGCACATGTTTGCACTCTGGCACTTGTGCAAAATGCCCCTATGCTAGCACACTTCTCCGCCTCCATCACCCTACTACTCACAAACTCTCCGCGGGGAAGCATTTTTATGGCAACCTCGGGCGACTGGGAGGTGGGCCGGGTATCGAGGGCTCGCAGGACCAGCCCGAAGTTGCCCCTGCCCAGATCGCCGATCTGCGGGACATAAGCAGAAGACGGGGTCATGAGTTCAGAAACACCACCTAGCTCCGTGTCGCGGCCGCGAGGGACGTTCGCATGGGCATGGGTGTACTGGACGCATCAGCATGAATTTTCGCTACCCAGCGGCAGCCAACCCCGGGCGTCCGCTGTTTACCACCATTACACCGCCCAACCGCCACCGCCTGTGACCCACCTCCACATAATGGGGCACGTAGTCGAGGAGCGATGCGGGACGGATAGGGTCTGGCGCTTGGCCAATCGGGTGGCAGGCCTCCTGTGTCCTCACGGAGGCGCTGTCCTGCCCCCACGAGCCTTCCATAGCAGCGGAAGGAGCAGGTTCAGACCCAATTGACATCCTGCATCATGTTGGAGTCAATCCAGGCATCTTACAGCCCGCTCATGGTTTGAACGCCACTATGGGGAAGGGGGGAAAGGGGTTCAGGCGGTATAGGTACCCAGATGTGCGCCAGCCCTCTTGCGCGGTGCTAATGGTCGAGAATAGGGTGCGAGAGCGGGTCCAAGCTCTGCGACAAGACAGGTTGTGCGGCAAACGAGGACGTTGGGGGACGCAGCGCGAGCTTCCGTCATCCCCCGATACTCTCCTCTCCCGGTGCACCGAGCACGCTTTCCTCCCCTGCCCTCTACGCCTAACCCTGCCGGTGACCTGCTGCATGGCGCGGCTCTTACACCCCACCTCTCACCGGACTTCAGTGCGCTTTGGCAGTCCGACTTTTCCCAGGCGCAAACCTTTCTGCCAATTCCGCGCAGGACTGCAGCTTCATCTCCTCTGCCTTCTTCTTCTGGCCATAATACCGGTAGCGCTGCTGCATCATGCGCTCGTTGTAGCAGGCCTGCTGCAGCCCCTCCTTATAATCACTCTCCACATGATGCTCTACCCTTGCTCTGTTGGTATGGGAAGAGAGGGCAGCAAATGGGGCTGGGAGGGGGTGTTAAGGTTAGGCCCGAGCCACGGGCCAATGGGGTGGGAGTGCTGCGCGCGGTCATGCGTGGAACCCAGGCTGGAGCCAGGCGCCTAGCAGCTTCCCCGCCCCCCCTTCCTTTTGCATCTGAGTCCCTCATCGCCATCCTCATCCCCATACAACTGCCACCCCCGTCACGGACCTGGGTTGTGATCTCGCAGGGTACTCCTTCTCGAAAGCTTTGAGGTTGGGCACATAGTACGGCACCTCGTGCCTCACTGTGGACAGCATCACCGGGTAGTCCGCGGTCTTGTGCAGCGAGAAGACGGGGGCAGAGGGCCGCGACATGAAGGTGACCAGGAGGAGGAGCAGGAGGGGCGCCAGCTGCAGGAGCTGCCTGATCTGCGGGGGCAGGGAGTTGACCTCCGCATGCTGCTGAGCCCGAGGGCGGCCAGCAAAGGGGTGCTGTCCCCCGCCAAAGTTTGCACGGTAGACACGGGCCCTGTCGTAAGGGCGGTGAAGACTGGGGTCATGGACCGGCTTCATGGGGGGAAGGCTTCGCCACTGCAGCCCCACCCCTGGGCCAGGAAGCGGGGCTCAACCCCCTCAGCCACCATCCCCCCTCCTGGGTCACCCGCACGCACATTATTCCATGCCCTCCCCTCCTCGAATGGCACCTCAACCCACGCTCACCCCTGCTGGGCCATGAAGGGGTTGCCCCCAAAAAACATGTTGAAGAGGTCCTCGGGGTCGATGCCACCCTGGGCGTACATGCCGCCGCCGTTCGGCCTCGCCTGCTGGGACAGGGCGTCCTCACTGCCGTGCACATCGTAGTGGGCGCGCTTCTGGGGGTCGGAGAGGCAGGCGTAGGCGCGGGAGACCACTGCAGGGTAGGTGTGTAGTAGGGAAGGTGGGAAGGGAGCGTGGAAGAGGACCGCAGCCAAGGGGTACGAGCGGAGTAAATCTTGTGTGCTCCCAGAGTCAAACAATGCCACGGAACTCCTGGCCACAACCAAGCCCGGCCGGCCCCCAAACAGACTTAATGCTGATATATCAAATGCTGGGCGACTGCAGCTCGGCACGGGGATCCAAAAACAAGCTATAATAGCATGCAGTGCAGCCCATTACAACAGTCTCAACCCCAACTGAGCCTCCCCCCTTCCCCCCCCCACACACACATGTAAGCCCAGGGACCGACATGCCACAGCAACTCACTCTTGAAAGCCTCATCGGCACCTCGTGCCTTGTTCTTGTCGGGGTGCAGCTTCAGAGCCAGCTTGCGGTATGCCCTGCGCATTGCGGAAGAGGTGTTTGGCACATCTCTGGTGCACGCCAAGTTGTATGAATGCGATGGCAAAGCCTCTCCATTCTTAGTCTGGTACAGTGAACCGGAATCCAAACCTCTGGACCGATTGCCCAGGCCCCGCACTTTTTCAAGTCGTCGTCGCTTGCGCTCCGACTGAGCGAGAGTGCCTCGTAATAGGAGGTTGTGGCCCGGATGCGAGCCACCAGCTGTCGCTGATCGGGAGTGGCCTGCTAGTGTGGCAGGGGTATCAACTGGGTGGGAGGCATTGGGCTTGCTACCCAGGCATCATTGAGTAGTTCACAAGGAGGCATTCCCAGAACCCATCGTCTAGGCCACAGGGAGCAAGCTCCTCAGCCCGAGCAGGATGCCCAACCAGGCCCCCACCTTGTGATCCTCATCCGGAGTCTCGTGCACATGAGCACCGCTGGAGGCTGGTGCGCCGCGCTGCCTCAGGCCTGGCTGAGGACCCATGCCCCCCGGCTGGGCGGCGCCTCTCCTGGCAGTGGGGACTGGGCCGGCCGGCCTGGCCCCCGTGCTGGAAGACGAACCGTTGCTGCTCCTGGCTCGCTCCAGCTTGGTGATAAACTTGCGCACCTGTGTGACGAATGGTGCAGGATTCACGGTCCTATTCGGCCTGCTGTGCGGCCCAAGCCACCAGGTTTCACGCAGATATCAATGCCAGGAAGGTCCATAGAGCAACCACACACCAATCCATGTCACAGCCTCCAGTACCTCGTCGTTGGGGAATAGGCGCATCGCCTTTTCAGCAAATCTGGTTGCCTTGGTCAGGTCCCCAGCCTGGAGGGCCTGCTCTGCGATGTGCAGGCACCGCGTACCCTCGTCCTTGTTGGCGTGATCACCCATGGCGAGCGTGCGAGGAGCTCAATGACAGGATGACAACTCTCGAAACTGTGCCACTAAAACCCAGGATTCTGGTACACCGCTAGTCCTGATTGGAACGCTCGTGGACAGTCCGAGTTTCGCGTTGAGGTCTTAGCTACACTGGCCCTCGCTGCCGCTGGTGCGCCAGGGAGGCACCACAGCAGGGGAGCGCCTTGCAGGCTTGGTCGAAAGATGCTGTTGCTGAAGTTGTGACGCCGCACCAGGCCTGTACCTGCCGGCTTTGCATGCATGCGCACCTCATTGCCCGTAGGTTTTGCGCGCGGGCGTGCGTGTCAATAGCCCTGGCCGGCAGCTGGGGCTTCATGTCGACCCGGCCTTGCGTCAGCATCTGTCTCCCCCAGTATCAAATGTAACAAGCCCTTGAGAGCTCTCCATGCACACTCTGCAGGTTCATGAGCATACTGCCGGGGCTGCAGTCGCCCCCTGCCTCAACCCTGCCGCTGCCTGGGGGCGGCCTTGATGATGTCGTCCACCCTGAGTATCATCTCCGTCGCCTCAGTGGCGCTCATCAGCGCCGAGTTCTTGGCCTTGTAGGACTCGAAGATGCCCAACTGCGGGGGACAGGATCATGTCAGGCACCCAGCAGGCACCGGTGGTCAGGGGACAGGGTCCTGGACCAAGATGAAACTGCCTCCAAGCCCCGGTGCACACAGCTGAGCTTCCAAGACCCCTCCCCCCAGACCCCTCCTCCCACCTCCTGCATGTCTCCGACGGTGCCCTTCTCGATGTCGATGCCGGCGCGGCAGGCATCTGGCGCCGCTGCGTGGGCAGCCCTGAGCCGGCTCACGATGTCGGCGGAGTCGAGCCCCGCGTTGTCGCAGATGATGGTGGGCAGGGCGCGCAGGGCACGTGCAAAGGCCTCCATGGCCAGGGACCGCTTGCCAGGGGTCTTCGCAGCCAGGTCATCCACCACCAGGGACATCTGGGCAAGGGTGGGGATGCACGGAGTGCATGCAGGGATCAGGGGGTATGGTATCGCAAGCTCTCGAGAATGGACGGCCACCGCCGCTGGCTTCCGTGGCAGTCACGGCCATCCACCGTGGGTGCAGGCTCGCGCTGCGTGGGAGCGAGGACGGCTGCGGGGATGCCTCGCCCCCCCCTGCCCACCTGCGTCTCGGTCCAGCCGCCGCCGTACACGACCCGCGAGTCCTTGACCGTCTGGACCAGCACACAGAGGGCGTCATGCAGGGAGCGCTCCCCCTCGTCCAGCACATGCTGACCTGTTGGAGGGAAGCGGGGAGCGACGAGGGCCGTAGGGTGCAGGCGATGCCACGGAGCAGGCGCGTGCCATCCATGCATTCCATGCCCCAAAGCGTGCAGCCTGTCAACGCCACTCACTTGCTCCCCGGAGAACGATGGTGCAGGCCTCGCCCAGCTTGCAGCCGGAGAAGTGGATCATGCGCTCGTTGCCGATCATGATCTCCTCGATCAGCTTGCACTCCCCCAGCTTGACGCGGGTGGGGTCGTCAAAGGTGGACACGATCTCGCCACCTGTGTGAGGGAATGGCATGGGGGTGGGAGGCAGGGACGACAAACCCCAAGCTTCATAACGGTTGCTGCCTGGAGTGGGTCACTAAAGGCACAACATGGGACCCACATGAGAATCCACATCAGTATGGATCCCCAAATGACAGGCCCATCAAATTGTGGCAATAAGAGGTCGGCGATCCCCGACCATCTGCAAGGTCTGCCAGCATGCTGCACTCAGCCCATCACTGGAGGCTGCCGCTCCCACTGGGGCACCCGGCTCCCAGCCCCAGGCCGCACCTGTCACAAGGGCCAGCCGCTCTGTGCCATCAAAGTCAAGGTGCTCGATAGCCATGACCCCCGCATCCGCAAACAATTGCTCGGGGTAGTTGTAGATGAGCTGCGCGGGTGTGGAAAGGGGTGGAGGGATGGAGGCGTGAGCTATGCATCATCCGGTCCCCGTGCCGGCGCACTGGACAGTTGGGTACCCTTGCCGCTCATTTACTGCTCCGCTCCTTCCCCACTCACCCACCAGGGACACTTTGCGGTTGCAGGCCCCCACTCCACAGTCCCCCACACCCAGGCTCTCACCTGGCGGTTGGTGAAGCAGTTGGCGCCGTGGGCCAGGATGGCCTCCACCTTCTGCTTCATCTTGTCCTTCTCCGCGGCCTCGATGCTCGCCACCTGGGTGTGTACGGACACTGTGAGTTTCTTGCAATGTGGACATCGGCTTGGCCAAGGGAGACACTCACACGGGGGCGTCTCCCTGGCCCCATACTCCCCCCCACGGCCGTTTCTCACATCCCCCTCAGCCCACGCCAGGGTTTCTTGGGCACCGATCTCATCTAATCACCCCACTTTCAACCCCCTCACGCAACAAAGAGGACTGACCTTGTCGATGCCATCCACGCGCACGCGCGCGCCGTAGATCTTGATCTTGTCGGTGTCCATGGGCGTGTTGGCCACCAGGATCTTGGCGTTCTCCACGCGGCGCGGCTGGCCGATGCCCACCGCCTTTTCCAGGATGAAGCCCTCGTCCAGGTAGGACTCGCGCAGCGTCCCGCCCACACGCTTGATCACCTGGATGGCGTCCATGTTGCCCGAGCCGCGCAGGCGCAGCACCGCGTCCACCGCCAGCTCCGCAAAGTGGTCCTTGTCGGAGGTCAGGATCTTGCTGGACAGCGTGGTGCGCGCGATGTTGACCAGGTCGGCGCGGAAGGCGACCTCGTCGCCGCTGTGGTCCAGGGAGATGGCCTGCAGGCGGCGCTGCGCCGCCTCCGCCGCCTCGCGGTACCCCGCGATGATGATGGCGGGGTGGATCTTCTGGCCCACCAGCGCCTCCGCCTCGCGCAGCAGCTCGCCCGCCAGGACCACAACCGATGTGGTCCCATCCCCCACCTCGTCGTCCTGCGTCTTGGAGATGTCTGCGAGGCAGGAAAGGGGGAATGGTGGGGGACGAGGATGGGGGACAGAGGATGGGAGGAGCACCCGTACCGTCGCTGACATCCCCCTGGGCTACAGGGCATGAGTGTGGGGCTCTTGCAGGTCCACTTCCTCTAGGTAGCTGTCCTGGCAGCCGCTCCCATCCAAGCGGGGCACCAGGCGGGCGCCGGGAACATCACCCCCACAACCCTTGCCAAAACACACCTACGAGGACGCGGGCGGCGGGGTTGTCCACGTGGACAGACTTCAGGATGGTGGCGCCGTCGTTGGTCACCGTCACCTCCCGACCTCGGCTCATGCTCTGCAGGATCTTGTCCTGCGGCGGGGGGATTGGGAGGGATTGCGAGCGAGGTGGGATGCAGGCTTGAAGCCTGATCCAGATGGCTAAAGGTAAGCGTGGGCGAAAGGTAAGGCTATGATGTTTACCAGTCGCCGGCTCAAGCGCTGTCACTCCGCCTTCCCCCTCTCCCATCACCCACCATGCCCTTGGGTCCCAGGGTGGTCTTCACCAGGTCCGCGATGGCCATGGCGCCGACGAAGGAGGACAGGCGGGCATTCTCACCCTTCTCCTCCGTGGATCCCGCTCCCAGGACGGACTGCGTGAAGTTGCTGGGCACACTGCGGGTAGCGGGGAAGGGAGGGGGCACGGTCACGACGGCGGGTCGTGGCTTCCCGGTCCGCTCGGGTCGTGAGGCACACCACTTACCCAGCTTGACCCATTCTGTGGGAAGACTGATCTGCTGGTCAGACTGTGTCGAGGGCGAAAGGGATTCCGATGATGGGGTGCTCGCGAGGAGGTCCGGACCAAGGTGATCAGTCGCTGCCGTTGCTCGTCTACAGGGATCGTGGGGACGTCGTGATCGGATGTATTCAGGTATGCCTGAGAAGTTTTATTCCCGCGCTGTACAGTCGCCGAGCACCACTCTTTTTGACTGGAATCCCTCCCCACTCTGTCCTAGTGGCGCGTGCTGTGCTGCGCAGGTGCCGGTCGGAAAGTCACCGCGCGCATTCCATGAGGATAGGGGGGTGGGGGCACTGACACTACCTTACGATCTTCGACTTGTCAAGGGAAGGTTTCACCCAGCTATACCCGCGAGTGCATTTACCCGCACCTGCTCAACGCGATGACGTCGTTGTGCGGCGCCTTCAGTGGCCTGCACATTGGCAAGCAGGTGGGTGGCACCGGGAAGTCGCGCTGGGTGTGGCAAAGGGAGGCCTCGCGGCACGCTGGTGGAACTGGTGTGTTTCCACACTTATTGTCACTAATTCAAAGTCTTTAGCTGGTCGTGTGCCATCCTTTGTAGGCCTTTAAGGCTTTCGTGCCCGCCCAGCACCTCTCCGCTCGGCGGAGTGCGTTCCTGTGTGCCTCCCGGCCTGTGACAGTGCGGGCCCCCGTCACGGCTTCTGCTACCATGGCCGCATCCCAGCTCACGATAGAGTGCGCAGATGGGAGGAGGGGCGGCAAGCTGAAGACGCGCAAGGTCAGTGGCTGGTCTGGGTCAGTGGCGGATTGGGAGGGAGAGTCTTGCGTTCCATTCTCATGATCTGTGCCTGCTTGAATATCTGGAAAGCATGCAGTCACCACTTCTGGTGTCCTACCGGACTCCTGAGTCCCTTGTTGAGTTTCCCATGTCCCAGGCGGCGGTCAAGCGTTACAAGGTGACGGGGTCTGGCAAGGTCCTGACGCGCAAGGCCGGCAAGCAGCATCTGAACGAGAAGAAGCGGCACCAGCACCTGCTCCGTTGCAAGTGCGTGTGCCTGGTCATGTGGAGGTGGCAGGGGGCGATGCAGTGCTGTTGGACTGGAGGGGTGTGTTGATCCGCATGTCGCAAAGTGATTTGGTGGGGTTACTGCTGCACACTCTGGCTCCGTGTGGATAAAGCCTGGACATCCTCCCAACCCCGCCATGTGCACTGTCTGTAGGAAGGAGCAGTCTGTGTCCCCCGGGGACCTCTTCAAGATCAAGCGTTGCATCCCCTATGCTGGCGTAAAGTGAGGTGGTGTAGCGCAGAGGGCTGCTGTGCTGAGAGTCGCCTCGGCTTGCTTTCCCTGACTGCTGCGTCTTCGGGGATGAGTATGGTGTACAATGCTTAATAAGGAGGGGGAGAGCACAGCGAATCCAAGCATTCTAACGGCTGAGTTGAGGTGTGGGAGCTCTGGGGTCGCGTCAGGGCACAGCATGGGATACTGGCTTTCAGCCCTCGACGGGATGCCTCGCAATCTCGGCAGCAGCTTCCTACCACTGCAGCAGGGGACGGAAGCATCTGTCCAGATCCTGGAGGTGGCCCCCAGCATCGCTGTCCAATCCTAGACGTTCATGGCCGTGATGGCCTCTGGGCTGTAGGGCTTGAGCACCCGCTGCGGCAGGTTCACGCGCCTGACGCCGGCCAGGGGCAGCGGGTGCGCCTCGGTGTTGAACACCCAGGTGTCGAGTGGAAAGAGGGAGGGCCGGCCTGGCCCCGCGCGGGTGCAGTTGGCCACGGCACAGGCGTCCGGGGCATCGGCCTGCACCAGCCAGAGGTACTTGAGCGTCTCCGACAGGAAGAAGCTCTCCTGCGAGTCGCGCTGCGACGAGGGCGCCGCCGCCACGTTGTCCAGGCTGGCGTAGTTGGCGGGGTGCTCGTGGCAACCCTCGCCCGCACCCTCGCACCCACCGCCGGGGGGGGGGTGCGCCCCCGCCCGCACCCGCGCCCAGCGCTGCACCGCGCGGAAGATGGCCCAGGCCTGGTCCTGGTAGGCGGGGTCCCCCGTGACCTTGTACAGCAGGTAGAGCGACTCCGCCGTCTCGGGGCGCAGCAGGCTGTGCGCGTCCAGGCTGGTGATGCTGAACTCGCCCATGCCGCGCGGGTTGTCGTCGGGCACATGGGCCACCCAGTGCCAGACCTCGGGCGCCAGGCCCGAGGGCGTGTTGCGGTACCCCTCGTAGCAGCTGCGCGCCAGCTCCCGCGCCAGCCGCAGGTCGCTCATGCCCGGGGGTTGGTCGCGCTGCGTCGCGCCGGGGACGCGTGTGTCCACGCCGTGGTAGTGGCCCAGGGCCAGCACGCCTGTGGTGAGTTTGAGTGTGGTTCTGGCACTTCAGGAGGTATCTGTGTGCAGGGATGAGGGGAGGGAAGGACCCCACCTCCAGGGCATTGCTGGAACCTGAGCCCGGCACATGCCGAAGACAAGTCATGAGCCGGAGCAGTCAGGATGAGGGTGGGAGCCTCGGACACAAGGATCAGCATGGGGGGCCCAGGCAGTAGTGGAACGTGCAGCCCGTCAGGCCGAGACAAGAGGGCAGCCGGTCCAGCCACAGAGCCTTCCAGTCCAGCCTGGGGTGCAATCGACCCAAGGCTCCGGGTGCACATAAGATCCAGCACTTGCTGCGTCCCTGCCACCCCGACCCCTCCTCCCCCGCACCCGGCAAGAAGCAGGCAAGGTGGTCCATCTTGGGCCAGGTCCGGTTCTGCGTCAGGTCCAGCTCGGAGACAAACCAGAGGTTGCCCACCGTCCTCTGGACCAGCCTGGACCGCACGCTGCGCATGGCCTGCAGGAACAAGGAGTGGGAGTGGGATGTGGGTGATATAATGCCGTGTGAGGCGTGGTTTTCTTTGCACGCTGCACCTGAGTCTGTCATCAGTGCTTCGAACGTGAGACATGGTGGCTCTGCATCAATCGCACAATCTTGATTCACAAGCTCAAGAACGCAGCCAACCCGCTCCACAATGGGCAGCCTCACCTCGATGTACCACTGCAGGAGGGTCTTGTCCTTCTTCCCCCTCTGGATCCAGCGCTTGAGCAGGTACTCGTAGTACGAATCCGCCCTCCCACCTGCACATTTGTGCAGCATGGGGGGGCGTGTTGGTGGAGCCACACCGTACGGGCACTCCCTTCAAAGGGGGGGGGCCCCCGGTGAGTACCGACTGGCCGCGGCATCGCTCCTCCCAAACAAGCACGGCTGAGGGAGACCATGGACCTTGCACCCATGCAGACTGCCTCACCGAGTGTCACGCGGTCTCCCTGCAGTTCCCCCGTGGCAGGATCTAGCTCGTAGGGTAAGAGTCCACCATACTTGGCCGTCTGGCTGGCCAACACCTCGTACACCTTGTCAGTGTGCTTCTCAAACACAGGGTTTCCTGCATGGATGTCGTGGTGGAGGGGTCGGTGGGTCTTGGAGATGTATCCTGTCGCCCCTCCTGCCCCTCCAGCTGGTGTGCACCTTGGCGAGATCCACCCCACACCAAGGAGAGCCTTCCCGCATGCATGCCCGCCCTCCACCTGCCTGAGTATCGCGAGAGGAGCGTCCACTCCAGGGTCAGCGTCGCAGCTTCCGACAGGTAGCTCATGTGCGTCCAGGCGGAGGTCGAGGCCTGCCCGCTGCTCACGTTGACGTCCATGAAGGGAATGCCGCTGGGGCTGGCCTCAAAGGCCGGCAGCAGTCGCGCGCCCAGCTCTACCGCCCGCTCCAGCAGGGCGGGGGTGAGCTCGGCGCCGTCTGCCGGGGTTGCCAGGGCGTGCGCCGACAGCAGGCCGCCGATGAGGCGGATGGTGGCCTCGAAAACATTCACCGTGCGGCCGTTGTCCAGGCTGAGCCCCGAGGCGACCCAGGCCAGCCCCTCCCGGAAGCGGGAGTCTAGGCCCATCATCTTCAGTGTAGACAGACCGTCCACCAGGGTCAGGCCCATGTCGAACCAATCGGCGGACTGGCAGGTGAGGGGCTTGACGAGGTCCTTGCCCCATGCGCATGCCCTGGCCGGGGTCAATTGGGGATGGGTCGTGGGCATGAGTGGTGCGGGGCGGGCCGCCTCAAGGCGGGGGGGGGTTGATGGTGCGCGAAGCGACACGACAGGCTGGCCTGGAGTGAGGAGCGGCGGGGCATGCGCCTGCAACACCCGCCTGAGCTCTCTGGCATGTCTGAGGCCGTGGACGCCAGGCGCCAGGCCCTCCTCCTGGGTCTATGGCCGTCCACGCCCCTTCCCATGCACCCTCAGTCTGCCACCAGGCACTCACTTGTACCCGTCCCAGGCGAGCGCCGCCGCCTCCCTGACCTGCTCGGCCCTGGACACGGGGTCGAAAATCTGGGCGAGGAGGCAGTCCTCCGCCTCCAGCTCATCCTTGGAGACCTTGGCAATGGCGCACGTCAGCTGCCAGCTCTCACACAGGCCCCCCGTCCTGCAGCGGGGGGTTCTGGTGTCTGGCAGGGGGGTATAGTTCGACAGGTCGTCTTGGACGTCGATATCCGGGCCCTCCTTCAGCGCCACCCTCGAAAGGAGGGCTGCCAGGATGCTGGTCGCGATGAGGGTCACAAACACGGCGCCCTTGTGCCGCTTCGTGCACCGAGTTAGCGCAACTGCGCATGGGTCTTGTGGGGAGTCTGAGGGGCTGGGGATCGCCATGCAGATGACCGCGTTTTGCACGCACGTCGCGCATGCCCAACCCATCTAGTATCGGCGTTTGACACTCACGCGCATGCCCTAGCGGCCACGCGCGCGTGCGCCGCAGGGAATGGCCCTTCATCGCCATTTTGAGTCCCAGGGCGGCATCCGAGGGGGACCAGGTTGTATTGTCCTCAGTTCGAGCTCATAATGACTGCTGCATAAACGTTCCATATTGGTTTGTCCCTCATTTCCCCATCATGTGGAGCCGAGGTGGACTTGGGTGCGGGCCCTGACGGACGTCGAACTAGGGTTATTCAATTTTTACGTAATTGAGGCACGGCATATGATCGGTCGAATGCCGTATGCGGTCCCTCGTACGCCGCAATCCAGGATCTGGGCGGCCCAATCCATCGTTCTACCCGCACTGGGGAGCTGAGACAGACGTACACAAGAGTGGGCTTGGCAGTTCGACCCTCGCGCAGCAGTGGCGGGAGGGTTTAACGACTCACCGGGGTAACCATGAGGACTGCATACCTACTTCCTTTAGACTGCGGGGCCTCTCCAGATGCATGCTCAGGCATTGCCAGGTTCTGTGAGGTCTCGGATCCAGAAGGTGCAGTGCGCTTCGCTCGCTTATTGCTGGAGGCCAGGTGGGTTGTGGGTGTCGGGGACGGGCCATCTCCTTGCCTGCGCGACATCCGGAGGATGACCTCGGCTCACTGTGCCGCCGGGGCGTGGCATGATGCAAGCTAGGAGCTTGCAATGGTGGAGTTGATTGCAAGCTCGCTTTTTATATTGCTTCCAGTCCGCGGAGGAGCGCAGCGACATTGCTGCTACTCTGTCAGGATCCCGGCATCCTGGGGATCCTGTCGGATGCGCTGGCCACTGCCGACCTGCCGCACTACGCCGGTGCGTTTGGTGGCAAGCCCATCCGCTGAAAGGGGGAACTTCCCACGACTCGTGCTTATGGCATTGGGCCACCACGTATTGTCTCGATTCCTGGTCGGTGAGGGATAAGCATCCAGGGCTTCTACGTAGGTTGTGCTTGATCCATCGCAGAGTATCTTCCTCCCAAACACATCCTCCCCCACCCCCCCTTTTCCCATTTTCATGCAGTCATCTTCCCTGCTGGGGGACCATCTGCTCTCCTGGAGCAGTTGCTGGCAGCAGGGATCAGCGATGTGGAGGCCATCAGCTTCCTTGCAGCTGCACTGTGGGGCAGTGCCGCCGCCAGGCACATCCCCGGATGGTCACAGGACGACCCAAGCATGAACTCCATGGCACAGTGGGAAGGAAAGCCTGTGCTTCCAGGAGTAGCTCATGACGACGGGGAGGAGCAGGATGCCTGGACCTTGGCGGCGGTCAAAAGGCCGTTGCCTCAGCTCACTGCGTTGCCACAAGGAGGAGGCCTGACCGAGCGCTCAGACCCGCATCAACACCCAGCCAGGCTGCATGTGGATGTCACGGGATCGACTGTTGTCGATCGCCTGATGGTCACGGTCGCTGCATATCTGGCGGACAGCGGACTCTCATCGGCAGGTATTGCACCCAACACCCCATTCATGGAGGCTGGCCTGGACTCGCTGGACCTCCTCAAACTGGCCAGGTGTGCCTGGTGCTCAGGGATTATGCAGAATCGTCAAGTAAACCAAAGAGATGGGCCGATGTACAGCTGCTGTTGTATTGAACATTGGGGTTTCAGAGGTCACATGCTCCTAGATATACCTGGCATTTGGCACGAGAAACAACAGTGCATCCCCTCTACTCCCGAGCGCAGTGTGGTGAGTCAAGAGTTTGAGGCGACCCTCCCGACCACAATCCTCTTTGACTTTCCCTCTGTGGCAAGCCTGAGCGCCCACTTGGTAGCTGCCGGCCTTGGGATGGCCAAGGGAGGCGGGGGCAACTCTACGCGGCCTGAAGCCCTGCACACAAGCGCTGCGGCACATGCTGACCCCAAAGCCCATGCGAGCATTGAGGCCGGAAGCTTTTCTGTCATCCCAGCGCTCCGACCCGCTCCTACCACTATAGTCCCAAGCCGAGGTGCTGTGCTGATGCAGAGCGGCGCCATACAGGTTGGGGATGGGGGGGACATGCTGGCGCCAGCAGACTGGAGCAACGCATATGGACTTCACTGGAGCCTTGGAGCCGAGTGTCCTCGGCCAATTCCATCGGAGCGCTGGGATGCCGAGGTACCCGGCGGTGTCGTGGCTGGACCACGGTTTGGAGCGTTTCTCAAGGGTGAGTTGAATGGTGAAAGGGGAGAAGAAGGGGTGTTGTTGACTTTATGTCTGGACTGTTCCAGCGAGTTGTTGGCTCGCTGGGTGTGAAGGGCCATGCGCCTCCGATCTACACAATCCTAGTTTCCCTCTGTCACGTTGATTGTGCCCCACGGTAACAGAACCTTCACCGTCCCTCGCATGCACAGATGTTCACGGATTCGACCCGGGTGCCTTTGGACTCGGCAGCGCAGAGGCTGCCCTCATGGATCCCCAGCAGCGCCTCATGCTGGAGGCGGCTGCCTGGGTGATTGGAGCTTGCCAAGCAACTGCGGGGTGGGAGCCCTCCATGGGCGGGGTTTTTGTGGGATCCACACATGCTGACTTCCTGGTTGCCAGCCGGACGCCTGGGAGTGCAGCCAGTACCTTTGGTGCAACAGGCTCTAGCCTGTCTGTCATACCTGGTGAGGCAGGGGAAGAGCTTGGAGAGTTCCTCTCACTGTGCCTGCCTGTGTTGCTGAGAACTCCTGAATTGGACTGGTGGGTGGGGAACTTTCGCCGTGGGTGTTGTACAGGTCGACCTTTCTGGCGGCGACGACTGGGCCCTCTGCTCAACCTGCACTCTACAGTGGCTGGCACAATGCTGACCCACAGGTCGCATCTCCTACACATTTGGTCTGGGGGGGCAGTCTGTCCTCCTGGACACCGCCTGCTCGAGCAGCATGGTGGCAGTGCACGCTGCTTCCACAGCCCTCCAGGTGAGCGGCACCACGGCATGGAGGCATGAGATGTGTGGCAGTTTTATGTTATCAATCTTCCTGGCAAGGCAGCACTGGTATGAATCCAGGTGCACATCTTCTGTCATCTGTTCTGGTTTGATCCCAGTGAATTCCTTTCAGCAGGCAGGCAGCCTCACGTGGGGAGTGGCAGGAGGCGTGAATGCCATGCTATCACCTGCCACCATGGCCAGCTATGCTGCAGCAGGTGGAGCGAGCGTTGCATGTACCTTCTGGGATCTGGGAAGCAGGCTGGCCATGGCTCCACCCATACAGCCATCCACTCGAGGAGGGGCCATTGTGATTTTGATCACAGCCAACTACAAACACGATGTTCAACTGTTGCAGTGGCCCCTATCTTTGCAGGGATGATCTCACCTTCGGGCAGATGCATGAGTCTGGATGCAGCGGCGGATGGCTATGTTCGGGCCGAGGCAGCGGGCCTCTTCCTCCTGCGTGCTGTCAGCTCAATGGATGACACCCATGCAGGGCAGGTGAGTGTTTAGATTGGCTTTGGTAGCGACTCACCTTGCATGCCTGGAAGGATGAATTCGGAGTGACTCTGGCTCAGCCTGTACGCAATCACCCCGCATATTCACTAGGCGAGCGCCTGCTGGTGCCCTGGGACCTCCATCCTGCTGGGCACAGCTGTCAACCAGGACGGAAGGTCCAGCAGCCTGACGGCTCCAAACGGTCCCAGTCAGTCAGCCCTGATCGCTGCTGCTCTGCGGACAGCCTTGTCGGATCCTGAGCAGGTCGAGAGCCATGAGTGTGTTCCTGGCTCAAGAATTTGGCAATGGATGGTGTCTCACTGCTCACCCGCGGTTGGTCCAGGTCAGCATGTTGAACGTGGCAACACCAGCTGTACTGCTCCCATGCATCAATTCCTCATGCAGGTGGACACGCTCCAACTGCATGGCACTGGCACGCCCCTGGGGGATCCCATCGAGGTGGGAGCTGCACTCTCCACCCTGGCCCCCAGGCACCGAGGTGCGGGTGGTGCTATGATGATACAGGGTGCTTTGTCGCTGCCTGCTCTCCCTGGTTTGAGGACATCATGGCACGCAGACTTCTAGCGCTGTCAGCAAACTCAACTTTCCGTACTGTTAATTCTCAGGGCACAGCCTGGCGCTGGCGGCGGTGAAGGCCTCCACCGGCCATAGCGAGTCGGCCGCTGGCCTCCTCAGTTTGGCAGCGGCCAGCGCTGGGGCGGGCTCCGCCTACCTGGCCCCGCTGAGGACGCTGCGGTGGGTGGTGGTGCAGGGGCCTGGTAATCAATATGCACGCTCATGAATGTCCCCGTGAGTGACTCTCAGAGGGAATTCGTACTGCGACTCCCTCCCGATGTCGCCTGCCCATACACCTGGTCTTTGTGGAAGGAGCACTAAATCTCAATCATTCCTCCCGGCATGCAGGACGGTGAACCCCTACGTGGCCGCCATCGAGCAGGTCTGCAGGGGTGGCATCCAGGCTGCCAGGCTCCAGGGGCCTCGGCCCGGGTGTGGCGCATCCGACCAAACACTGGCCGGCGCCAGCTCCTTTGCCTTCCAGGCAAGCTGCGATTGGTGGGGGTGGCGTCAACGGAGCGCTGGGCACAGCCATCGGGGGCAAGCATGGCCCGGACCCCTTGCATCTGCTTTCTTGAAGTAGCCCATCGTCCTCTCTCCCTCCTTTGGACAGGGCACCAACGCGCATGCCCTGGTGCGCTCTGCGCAAGGCTGTCAGGGCCAGTCCCCAGGAACCAGACCCTGCTGTCCCTCACAGCGGCTGGTGTGGGAGCGCACGCCGCATGGGCCCGCCCACCTCCTGGCCTGCTCCAGCATGCGATTGAGTTCCTGGTTGCCCCGCCCCGGCCGCGCCGGGGTGCAGCTGCGGCCGGCGGCGCGGCCGTGGGCGCACCTCCGCGACTTGCCCGCGCTGTGGCCGGCCGCCGTGGCCTCTGCTGCGGCGACGCTGCGCCTTATGCTGGATGTGCCACGGGTTTCCCTGCACAGCATCGCCTGCTCACCGGACGCCGGAACCGAGGGCCATGCTGGCGGCCAGGTGGCCGCAGGGGCACCTGGCCTGGACCTTGAGATCCTGCCCGCCTTGGGGCGGGTCAGCGTCAGCAGGCCGGGGTCGAGGATGGAATCCCTGATCACGGCCTGGACGGCTACGCTGGGCCCGATCGCCGGCCCTGTCAAACCTGTCAGCAGCCCCTACAAGACCAGGAGCCGCGCCAGGAGGTGCCTGGTACCGAAGATGCCGCCAGGTCGCTTCCTGGATCCAAGTCCTGTGGCAATCGGGGACATCATGTCCGAGGCCCAGCCCTGCCTCCCAGGGGGAGGAACATCGTGCCTGGTGCTGACAGCTGCTTTTGCGGTGCAGGCCTGTGTGGCTGGGCCTGAAGGTCCACGGGGTGTGCCCGCTGCACCTGTCGCACCGGCACCAGCCTGCCTGGACCACATCTTGTGTGGCGCCGAGCACGGCGTGACATGTGAGAGCCACGGGAACCGCATCGCCGCTTTTGCTGACGGCACGGCGGGGGTTGAGGACCACTCCACCCGGGTGGCAGGCCTGGTTCTTCGTGGCCGGCATGAGGGCGACGCTGAGATCCTGGGCCCAGGCGCCCAACCCAAGCCCCTGTACCATCGCGTGTGGCGGGCCAGCGCCATATTGGAGGGAGCGGCACCGGCGCGAGGCGCTGGGGCGCTGGGCTTTACGTTCAGGCTGACGTCGGCGACGAGTGACGTCGAGTCCGTAGTGCTGGCCGGCTTGCCTGTACCCCAATGGAATGTTTCCCTGCCGCCAGCAATCAGCGCCGGTGCCCTGCTGGCCTTGGAGGTGCTGCAGCAGTCGCCCCACCTGACGGCCCTGCATGTCCACGCACGTGGAAACTCTGCCGGCGTGTTGTATCGGCGGCAGGATCCGGCGCCGGCGCTGCGCTGCTTCGCCGCGGAGAGAGTCGGCAGGACGGCCATCAGCCTGATCGGGGTCGGGGTGTATGCAGCCTGCTCACCAGCAACTGCTTCGGCCAGCCCGACGTCCAGCAGCCACTGCCTCGTCACCGGCGCCGTCCTGAATGTGCGCGCGCTGCAGGTGCTTGCCGCGCCGGCGCATGCGCATCCCAAGCCGCTCCTCGGACCGGGGGCATGGATCATCGGCGGCGGGGCGGGGGCGCTGGGGCTGCTCGCTGCCCAGCTGGTCCAACAAACCGGGCGCCCAGGCGTGGAGATTGCTGTGCCTGCGCGCTCCGGCAGGGTCAGCGGCTTCGGCCAGGAGGTCGGCGCACGAGACCTGGCATGGAGCAATGGCCTCCTTACCATCCTCATGTAGGTTTGGGAGGGGGAGGGGGCAGGGGACTGGCGTTCCACGTTGCCTGAGGATTAAGTCTCCGACCTCCCAAGCAGCGTTCTCAGCATCCCCCCACCACATGCACTCACTCCAGCACCTCACTGACCCCCCGTCCAGGAGTGATTTGGCGATGGACTGTCACGGACTGGAAAGCGTGGCCAGTGCTCGCCTGGGACTGGTGCACGCCGCCGGGGTGCTGAGGGACGCCGGCATCGCGGCGCTGCGTCCCTCCAGCTTCCGCGTAGCTGCAGCTCCCAAGGCGTTTGGCATGTGGCGGCTGGCAAGGGTGAGGCGGGGCCATGAGGACACGAACAAGGCGGGGTCGCGCTGTGGAAGCCATGTGCAGAAGGGGGATCACATCCTATGCCAGGCCCGTCCCTCCACCACCAGCCCCCTCACCAAGGCACACCTTGCGCCCGACAGATGACGTCTGGATCTGCACTGGAGGCTTCCATCTTGTTCAGCTCCATTGCCAGTGTCACTGGACCCTCTGGCAGTGCGGCCTATGCCGCGGCCAATGGAGCGCTGGACGACTATGAATCCGCTTGTGCGCACAGAGGCAAGTGATGACATGAACGTGAGCGCTGCCGGCCGAGGCTGGGCAATCACACATGTTCTTTAACAAGCTGAGTATGGATCCAGCTACACCGTGTCCTCGTCTTCCCTGAGCCAGTGGAAGGTTCATATTACCTGATCCGCTCCCAGCACCTTGCCACAGGCACTCCTTGCGACGTCATTCAATGGGGACCCTGGGCTGGCGTTGGCATGGTCGCCTCCAACCGCGCTGTGCACGCTGCCATGGCCCGTGCCGGGATCGGGGCCGTCCAACCCCCTGTTGGCTTGGACATTCTGTCGGGGGTCATCAGGGGTCGATACGCCGGCGAGGTGGGCTTTGGTTGGGGCCTCACTCCTTTGTTTGGCGGGACGGCGCAACGTGATGGTGCATGCGCTATCTACCACCAATGTCTCATGTAGTATGGCATTGTGGCCCGCTGTCTTGTCCCCCACCATGTCAGATCAACACATACAACATCTTGTATGCCCACAGATCACTGCCATCGATTTCAAGTGGGCGAGCTTCATGCGCATCCCACGCCAAGCCTCGGACCAGTTATACTCTGACTTCTCCACCATGATGTTGCCAGAGTCTGCAACCTCTTCACTTGTTGGGGCACAGATCGTCCCACCACCTGCCACAGCCCCAGCGACGCAGGCCGTCAACTCCCACAGCTCATGGGATGGAAACACAGCTGCGTTGCTGGAGGAGGTGCTGGCTGCTGTGCAGGCTGTGCATGGCGACAGGCCCGCCCCAGACATGCCGCTGGTCCAGGCGGGGCTGGACTCCCTCGGCACGGTGGAGCTGAGCCAGCGTCTGGCGGCCAGATTTGGCCTCCGCCTGCAGCCCACCCTGGTGTTTGACCACCCGACGGCTGCCGCGCTGGCACGCCACATCGCAGAGCTGTGTGGGGTTGCAAAAGAGCACGGCCAGGGGCCTGAAGGTGACCGTTATGCTAGTCTGGGACTCAGCCGGCTGGAGAGTTTGGTTCCTCCCACATCGGATGTTGTGGTGCTCGAGCATGCACATGCCCGCCTGGCAGCGCCGATGGATGGGGGCCATGGAAGGTTTGCCCAGGACACCTGCCGGTGAGCTTGTGGAGGGATTTGATTTCCTGCGAATTATGTCTAGGGTGGCTTGTCGTAGGAGGGAGTGTGGGATGTGTCAGAAGCGAGTCACAGTGCCCAGCTGGGGCTTCAGCAGATAAATTCTCAGGCACGCCCATCCATTCATCCCACCTGCAGATCCACACCCTTGAGTCGCTGGGATGTGGATGGATCCAGGATCCACCCTGTCCCTGGTCACAGATTCGGCAGGCAGGACGTGCTGTGTTGTGGTTGGAAAATGGGGCACAACAGCGATTCATGCCTGGCTTGTGCACTGGTCCTTGGACTGAATCGAGGGAAACGAAACTGATCCCCTCAGATTCAGATCCTCTCTCAAACAGGTTCTTGACTGGCGTGGAGCTGTTTGACGCCTCGGCATTCTATGTTTCAGCGGCAGAAGCGCTTGTCATGGACCCCCAGCAACGCATGATGTTGGAGGTGGGTGATGCACACTGCTGGGGGAGTTGGGGGTGGTTTCATCCTCCTCGAAGGATCTGGCTGAAGATGTGGACATAAGAAGACCTTTCAGAGCCTCGATCCAGCATGTTCTCTCGCCTCAGTGCCATGCCTCTGCCTTGCAGCACTGCAACATATCTCGCCTTTCATGGCCAATCCCCTGCAAGGACACTCACCCCTGTGTCCTTTTCAGGACGCTTCCCATGCCCTCTCGGCCTGGAGCGGGCACCCCAACCGCGACAGCACCGCGATCATCAGCGCCCAGTCCTTCTGGGACTATGCATCTGAGGCAGACAGGGCCATCCCTGGCCTGGGGGCAGCCTACCGCGCGAGCGGCAGATGCTTCAGCGTTGCAGCCGGCCGCATCTCCTTTACATTCGGCTTGCAAGGTGACGCTTTGATTTGATATGCAATGCAGGGCTTGCTATGAATAGAGTGTTCAGGATTGGCACACCATGCTGTGTGGTGCACCCTGTTGGGGCATGATGAGACTGCAGCGTCAATGCCGGCCGCATCCAAAGCGGCGGCTACGACTCGGCTCATGATAGGTGGTACACAGACATTTGCATGACTTGCCCCCATGTCTCTTCCACTGCAGGCGTCTGTCTTGCCCTCGACACTGCTTGCTCAAGCAGTTTGTCGGCCTTGCACCTGCTGCGGTCGGACCTGACCTCAGGCAGATGCCCCCAGGGCCTCATCACTGCAGGTGGGCATTGCCAGGATGAAGATGATCGCAACAGTCTCACGCATGCTCTGATGCTTGACTGACATGTCATTGAGACTCCCCTGGACAAGGAGCACCACCAGTACCTGGCTGTGCACCGACCGCCAGCTGCAATTCCCCATCCATCGCCCCCTTGCCTCAACTTCAAACGCAGCGCTGCTGACGCTGGACCCCTCCACAATCAACATGCTGACCGCCGCCGGCATGCTGTCCCCTGACGGTCGGTGCAAGACCCTGGAATCTGCGGCAGACGGGTCCGTGGGCCTAGACCCTAACCCTATAGTGCTTTGGGGAATGGCTGGAGTCCAGTGTGCGCAAGGACACATGTGTGTGCAAAGCTGGTTGGAAGCCATGCACATGCCATGCGTGACTCGACCCACACCACCCTGCAGATATGGCCGAGGCGAGGGCTGCGTCACCCTTGGCCTCACACGCCAGGGTCAAAACACCGATGCCCTGGCCGTTCTAGCGGGGACCGCCATGAACCAGGACGGGCGGTCCAGCAGCCTGACGGCACCCCACGGTCCCAGCCAGCAGGCTGTCATCAGCCAGGCCCTGGCCGCGGCCGGCGCCCCACCTGGCGCCCTCACGGGGCTGGAGCTGCACGGGACGGGGACCCCGCTGGGGGACCCCATCGAGCTGAACGCGGCGCTGACGGTGCTGTGCCCCAGGCTGGGGCGAGGGAGGGATGGGCATGACCCCGGACCCTGCCTGGGCCTGCATGCCGTCAAGACGCTGGTGGGGCATGTCGAGCCTGCAGCTGGGGGCGCAGGCCTTCACAGCACGCTGATGAGGTGGGTTGGCGCAGAAGGGCGCGACGCGCATGGCCTGCTGAACTTTTATCATGAAGGGCACGACACATGGCTTCCCGCCTCGGAGACTGCTGGTGGTCGTAGACTGGTTTTCCTCCTTTCCCAACCCTTCTGGAGCATCACATTGCAGGATTCGCTCGCTGGTGCTCCCCCCCCTGCTGGGACTGGGCGTCCTCAACCCGCTGATGACGGACAGCTTCTCCGCAGCTTCCCGCGGGCTGCACGCCGCGAAGCAGCCCGGGCCCCAGGCCTGCTGCGCCCCTGGGACGCTCTCGGGCACCAGCGCCTTTGCCTTCCAGGGCACCAACGCGCACGCGCTGCTGGCGCTGCCACAGGTGCTGACGCCGACCGAGGCGCTCGTCCGCAGGCCAGCCTGGCGGCGCCAGCGCTGCTGGTTCGGGCCCCGTCCCCACGTCCTGCTGGTCCGGGCGGGGGCGCCCAAAAATGCGACCTGCCAGCTGCGGGCCAGCCTGGTCTCGCGACGGCTGGCCTACATCTGGCAGCATGCCGTGAGCGGCAGGCCCCTCCTGCCCGGCGCAGCCATGATGGAGGCAATGCACGGCGCTGGGGGGTCTCTGAACGCCAACCCAGGTGTTTGATGAGGGGTGCCATGGTGGACGGACACAGCGTGCACGATCGGTGGGGTGGAAGCAGGGAGGACTGTGCGTCACGTCAGCGGTGACTGGGTGGCATTCGACAGACGTCCTTGTGGTAGGAACGCCGGGCTGCTGCTCCGTTCTACACACGCTGCAAGTCTGCTTTCGTCCCCACCGATATCAAGCGTGCTGATACCCCCATCACCTCTTCCGTCAATTTCCAGAGCCCCAGTCCAGGGATGCAGGCGTCCTGTTTTCCCTGGCAATAACAGCACCGGTCCTGCTGCCCAGGCACACAGGACTGCCGAGCCAGGACCTCTTGCTGAACATTGCCGCAAGCATGGCGCATGGCACCCTGGTTCTGAGCAGCGCCGAAGGGGCTGCACATCAGCAGGCTGCCACCACCCACGCCACGGCCATGTTTGGCCTGGCCTGGGCAGGGGCTTCACTCTCTCCAGCACAGGCTCCCGCGCCGGCCTGGCATGCAAGTTTGGCCCTCCTGCTGCTCCCTCGCCCTCGCCCTGCAACCCCAGGCTGCACAGGTATCATCAAACCAGTTGACGGCGTCGAAGTGGATGGCTATGGCTGTCACCCTGCGGTGCTGGATGCCATCACCCACTTGGGTGCTGCGGAAGACATTTCGGCGGGTGGGGCGCCAGGCGTTCCTGTTGCAGCAGGAGCCTACCTTCCGGACGGAAACCAGGAGGTGAGGAACGTGTAGTGGTATGGTCTTGAGCAGGCAGGCCCTTTTCCCTTGCCTTTGCTGTGATGCTCAGGGGTGTGCGCTCTGTACTACCCAAGCATGTGCAGGCGCCACTAAGCCTGGAGTGCAGCAGTGGCCGCCCGCTGAAGCAGGGCCTGGGTGTTGTGCAGCGCACCTTTGCTAGCTGCTCCGGGCTGTGCCTGGCATCGCTGTGGTCCCAGGCCCTGCAGGCGGCCAGCGCGCGTGCTGGGCGGGACGTCCGCGCCTACGTGGAAGTTCACTGCGCCGCAGAGGTCGCCTGCCATGGCGATCAAGTACTCTCACGATGTGCTGCGGCTACGACAGGCTGGCAGGACATGCGCGTGCTCCCCTCCAGTCCCCAGGGGCCCAGTGTAGCTATACGCAGGTCGGCGCTGGCACCCCTAGTCAGTGCCCTCAGGGCCTGCATGGGCAGAGATCGGGATGCCCAGCTCCGGCTGGATGCGAGTTCTTCTGGCCTCCTCGCCATGCCCTGTGCGATGGGATCCCATGCCGGACCGGTGGTTGAAAGTGATCTGATGTGCGGCGCGATGCTGCGCTGCCTTTTGCTCGAGGCATCGCTGGGCAATGCAGCGCTGGACGTCTGCAGCCCACTTGACCCCGCCCCTGCTGCGCCGCTCGTGCCTGCTGGGTCCCCGCCGGCCGTACGACGGCAAGCAGTCGCTGCGGGTGTGACCCTGATTCCACACCTGGTCGAGAGTAACCCAACGCGGCCTGGCCATCTCAACAACTTCTCGCACAGCTCCACACACAATCTTGTCACCGGCGGCACCACCGGACTAGGCCGGCTGGTGGCTGGCTGGCTGGCGGTTTGCCGCGGAGGAGCGACACGCTTGAGCCTGCTGGGCAGGAGTGGGCGAGGAACTGGCGGGCTCGCATCCATGCATCCTTGGCAGAATGTCCCCACCGTCTTCACGGTGACATCCTGCGACATTGGGTGTCGGTTGGACGCCAGCTGCCTCGTCCGCCGGGCACCGCCTAGCTCGGCCCTCTTCCATGCCGCCGGGGTGCTGCGAGACGGGCTGCTGGCGGCCGTGACCCCTGGCGCCCTGCGCCACGTGGCCGGCCCAAAGACTGGCTGTGTTGGAGAACTGACGAGCCCCGCAGCCGGATCCAGGCAGGGGACTGGGATCCTTGTTGCAGTGTGTATGTGGATTTGCATGATATTAGAACCACAGGGGATCCTGACGTGCCCACGCCAGCTGAAATCCTCATGGAGCTCCTGATGGTCTATCTAGTTTGCTGACCCAGGTCCACACTCACTCCTCGCCCTCGTCCCGTCGCAGCATGCTGGTGCTGTTCAGCAGCGCATCGGCGGCCCTGGGGAATGCGGGGCAGACAGCGTACGCGGCGGCCAATGCCATGCTCGATGCGCATGCTGGGCGGTGCTTGACTCAAGGATCGCCAGCCCTCGCCCTGCAGTGGGGCCCCTGGGCCTTCGTCGGCATGGCCGCCGCCGCGCCCAGCGTTCTAAGCACCCTTGCGCGCCAGGGTGCGCCGAGGCTGGCTGAGGGGGGGGGGGGAAGTGAATGTTCTTTGCTTGGTGCCAACGATCTCAAGAAGGAAGATGGGTTATTTGCTGTGCCATGCCTGAACTGGGATTTGTTGTGGCCGGCAAGGTGCATACGACACAATATACATGCCAGCGCATGAGATCAATGCCCTCCGCAACCGCAGGCATGCACGCCATGAGACCTGCGCAGGGGCTGAGGGCACTTCAGGGCTGCCTAGCAGTCTCCTACCCGCCCGTGAGGGTGGCGGGGGCCTTTCAGTGGGATGCGCTGCGCCGCCGGCCACTCCTCCCTCACTATAATGAGGAGGCTTCTGACCCTGCGGGTGCCATCAGCGAGGCAAGTGAGCCTCCAGCGGCACGCAGCACCGCTCCTAAGCTCCCCGAAACCAAGGCAGCAGCGCCGAATGGCATGCAAGAAGTGCTGGATCGGATCACCGACCTGGTCTGCGCCGTGCTGGGGGCCTCGGTCGCGCCCGACGCCCCGCTCATGGCCGCCGGACTCGACTCCCTGGCGGCCGTGGAGTTGCGCAGCGAGCTGGGCGCCGCCTTTGGGCTGGAGCTGGCGCCCACTGTGGCGCTGGACTACCCGACCGTCGCCGCGCTGGCTGGGCACATCGGTGCCCTGCTCCGGGAGGTAACGGTGTCTGACAGAGTGGGGAATGAGCAGGGCGAGGCGGTGTGGGACCAGCATCTCGAATCTGTCCAGCATCTTCGGCTACCGGCTGACCCAACCAGGACCCTCGCAACCGTCTACATCGCTGCCACTGGGGCGCGATTCCCCAACCACGTCACCTCAGGTGAGCACTCGCAAATCAGTTGGGGCCTGCCTGAATTGGCTGATAACGGCGGCGCGGACTGGTCTGGGAAGCCCCGTTCCTACAGGAGTTGGGGGCACAATTATCTTGGGATATCCATTAAGCCACACTTGCATCCCTCACCCCAGTGGCCTCCCCACTCCCCCTATCCACATCAGCTGGAGCCTTCATGGAGACAGCTGTACAAGGTCGTGGCGTGCAGACCACCATCCCTGCCGAGAGGTGGGACGTGGATGCCATCTACTCCGCCGCCAGCGCACCCGGGCGTGCCTACGCCAGATTCGGGGCCTTCATCCAAGTGGGCCTGGTTGTGTGTGAGGGCGGCAGCAGTTGGATCTTGCAATGTTGCGGAAAATTTCCCCATATGCGACTCCAGAGCGACCCATCGCATGCATGACTGCCCACCAAGCACACCCATGCCGACTCACCCCAACCCCACATGTGCCCCCATTCCAGGATGTTGCTTCGTTTGACCGGGTCATGTTTGACATGAGTCCGGGCGAGGCGGCATGCCTGGACCCCCAGGCCCGACTCCTGCTGACGTCAGCTCTGGAGACCCTCTGTGGATCAGGTGTGAGCTGCATGGGAGCATGCAGGTCCCCAAGGCTGATCAGCCAGATCAGCGGCCCCATAGACCGCCAACTTCATCCCCTTCCTCCTGCACCCAACAGACTCTGTGTACCAGCTGGCACGAATGGGTCCCCAGACTGGCACATATGCCGGGTGCATGTTTCACGACTACATGAGCCTCATGCATGGAACCCTCGGCCAGCCCCTCAGTGGGGCTGTGATGACAGGTGGGAATGAGAATAAGTAGGGGACCTGATGGCTGCACCGCCTGGATGCCAACATCGTTGGCTGAAGGGATGGTATTGCATGGTATGTTTTAACTGGCGTTATCTCGAGCACTGCGAAGGCTTGGCCCACTGTCGACTTCATTCCGTAATCGCGTGCCTTGATGCAGGAAATGGCGCACCTTACCAGTCAGGCCGTGTGGCCTATGCCTTTGGCCTGTGTGGACCCTGCAGTGGCATCGACACAGCCTGCTCATCCTCGTTGGTGGCAGCCCACAGTGCCCGCGCAGGTGGGTTCAAAGGGTTGCCAGGGTGTATTGGTTCTGGAGCCTGAAGTGCGCATGGAATGCCCAGGGCATTGGCAAAAGATCTCTGACGCTCCAGAAGTCTGCCAGCCCACCTTCTAGACTCCACAATTGCATCCCGTTCACCCCAGGTATCCTCGCGGGGGAGTGCCAGGCAGGGCTGGCAGGGGGCGTGAACGTCATGCTCTGGCCTGGCACTACCGTGGGCATCTGCCAGCTGGGGGCCCTCTCCTCCAGCGGGCGCTGCCGCTCTCTGGAGGCCGGGGCCGACGGGTATGGCCGGGGTGAGGGCATCGTCACTGTGCTCCTCGTCTTGGCCGCAGCGCTGGGCCAGGGCAGACACAGTGACGCACAGCAGCAGCGGCCGCTGGCCGTCCTGGCGGGGACGGCGGTGAACCAGGACGGGCGGTCCAGCAGCCTGACTGCGCCCAACGGCCCCGCCCAGACTGCACTGGTGGCTGCCACACTGGCCGCGGCCGGGACTGGGCCCGCCGACGTCGGCGTGGCCGGCCTGCATGGCACGGGGACCGCGCTGGGGGACCCCCTGGAGCTGGGTGCCCTTCTAGCAGCCCTGCGTGCGCCGCGTGGGGTCGCCGCTCGGCCCATTGCCGTGTCCGCCGTGAAGAGCTGCTTTGGCCACACCGAGGGCGCGGCAGGTGGGTTAAGTGGGCTGGTGTGCTGGCTGGCTGCTGAGTAGAGACTGTGAGCGTTTGCATGAGGTCTGGCTTACCTCGATTCACAATCTCAATCCTCTGTTTAACGCCTACCATCTCTTTGCAGGCTTGACAGGGCTGCTGTTGGGGGCAGCCACGCTGGCCTCAGGCGGCGCGCCCCCTGTCGCGGGCCTTGCCCTCCTGAACCCACATGTCGCGTCTGCTCTGTCCCATGGGTGGGGCCGCGACGGGCCAGCGGCCATGCACATCCCCCGGGAGTCGGCGCCGGTGGGAAGTTCCGGCAGCCTCACCGGCACCAGCTCCTTTGGAATGAGCGGCGTGAATGCGCACGCCATCTTGAGGGGGGGTGGCGTTTGTTCAGGGTCGAATCTCCTGGCAGGCCAGGCAGCGCTGCCTTGTGTGCCTGCGGTGGCCTGGCCCTGCCCCCTGCTGTGCAGTCTGATGACAGGGGCGTTGCCGGGGGCGAAGAAGGGCAGCCTGCACCTGGCTGCCACCCCGGCAGCTGCAAAGCATGCCTGGCTCCATGACCATGTGGTGGCGGGTGAGAGGCTGGGTGGGAGGAGGCTCTGCATACGATGTCAGGCGGGAGATGTAAGAAACGGTTCTACGCTGCGAACATGCACAACAGCCCAAAGACACACGCCTCTCTGCCGCCAGTGTGTCACACTGCAACCTCTCTTACATCCCATCACGCAGGCCTCGGCGCCGTGCTACCTGCCACCGCCCTCCTGGAGCTGGCGGTGAGCCCCGCAGGGGCCCTGCCATTCGGCCTGGGCCTAAGCAGCGCCTGCGCCATCCTGAACGCGGCGTTCCAGGCCCCCTGCAGCCTCTCTGCAGGACGGCTTGTTGTTTCTCTCGACATCGCCGGCGCTGGGCGTGTCACCATCGGCTCCCAGGAGGGCGTGCGCTATGTCGTCGCCCAGCTCTGCCACATCGGCCCTCCCGCGCTTATTGATGCAAGGCGTGGCAGGCACAAATCTCCTGGCGCTGGCAAGGCTGCCATTCGCCTGCTTGGCCAGCGCAGTCTGCGCCTTCCTCCTAGCAAGCCGCCCGCCTTCAATACGGCCGTCCTCGCCAGCCCACCTTCCGGCCAGGTTCCATCCTACGGCGTGCACCCCGCCAGGCTCGACGCCGCGCTCCACCTTTCCGCGCTGGCCGGCTTAACGGGCAAGGGCGGCGCTGTGCGCGTGCCGGTCGCGCTCAGCGCTCACAGCGTGCCGCGCCCCACGCCCTGTGGCTTCAGTCCTGAATATGAGGCTGTCTCCGTGAAGGTGGGGAGCAGGGGTCGCGGTTTGCCCTGCGAGGAGGACAGGGAGGATGGGGCTGCAGCACCCAGCGTTCTTGCCGCGTATGCCGTGCTGTATAGCCTTTGCACCACTGCTCTCACTGAACCCCCCTCCACACCCCTCTGTCTACTGCATAGGTGCTGCGCCACGCCAGGCTGGCATCACAGACAGACACAAGTGTGGTGATGCCCGGCGTGTGCAGCATGCAGGGCCTGGTATCGGCGCCGCTGCTGCGCCTGGGAGGACCCCTTGTGCCTCCTCCTACGGTATCAGCGCAACCGAGCCCGCTGTACCACATCGCCAACTTGGCTGACCGGCCCACCAGGGCATCAGCAAGCTTTACTGATCCAACCCTCGCCAGCTTGCCAGCTCTGAGCATGCGCTGGGCCGGCAACGCTGCTGCCCCTCCTGGTCCCTCCATCATGATCCCGGAACGCCAAGACAGCGCTGAGCTCTGCTCTAGATGTGCGCCAACCCTGTCGGCGCTGCACGCTGCCGGAACTGGGCCATCACTGCAGGCCGCCGTCGCCGGTGCAGAGTGCCTCCCTGCCCCCATGCCGGGCCAGGCCAGAGAGATGGCCCTCGCCTCCCTGGCCCTCCTCATGGTGGCCGGCAACGAGGCCAATGAGGTGTCGAAGCCGGCAGGGCCGGCCTTCGCCCTGGGCCCCAGCATCACCTGCCTGGATGCAGGGACTCCACTCTACCGGAGGAATGCAGAGGAGGAGGCTCATGATGCCCAGCCGGTCCATCACCAGAGAGGCGTCACCTGCCTGCCCAAGCTCATGCGTGGCCTCCCGCCGGGGCTTTGCTCCGCACCAGAGATGCAGTCTCTGCAAGGATGCACGCTCGTGACCGGTGGAATGTCTGGCCTGGGGTGGCTGACTACTTGCTTCCTCCTTTCCAAAGGGCCGGCTTGCCCAGAGGTCTTGCTGGCGGGTCGCAGCGGGCGGCTCGCCGGGCGGCTTCCAGGAGGCGGGGGCGTTTTCGCCACTCCAGACCACCTTCACCTTGTGCAGTGGGACGTCGGGAGGCGTGGCGAGGTTGCATCCCTCTCTCAAATTGCACGGCATCCTCTGTCCAACACGGTGCATGCGGCGGGGGTCCTGGACGATGGCATGCTGGCCTCACAGACCCCCGGCCGCTTCAGGACGGTGGCCGCGCCCAAACTGCAAGGTGCGGTGATGCGAATTGGGTGTTGTGCTTAAGAGAAAGGCTGCCATCCTCTTCCAGCCCTACGCGATGCACTGAGAGGCTGTCATCCCCCCACTCCACGATCCTCCATGGCAGGTTTCCAGCTGGTGGCAGGCGCAGCCGCCGGTCACCCTCTGCAGACCCTTGCGGCCTTCAGCAGCGTGGCCGGGCCCTTGGGGTCGGTGGGCCAGGCCAACTACGCTGCTGCAAACGCCGGCCTGGACGCCGCCTGCGGGCGGCTGCACGCATCCGGGATCCCCTCCCAGGCCCTGCAGTGGGGCCCCTGGGCCGTGGTGGGCATGGCCGCCCAGTCCCGGGGCCTGCTTCCACTGCTGGCGCGCCGCGGTTTCCAGGGTCTGGCCCCGGCCACGGGTCTGGACGTGGTGGCCAAGACCCTGCTTGCAAGGCAGACACCCGCTGCGGAGGCGAGCCTGATGGTATGCCTGGTGGAGTGGCAGACCTACGCCCCGGCCCGCTCGGGCTGGAGCCGCGGACTGTTCTCGGAGGTTGTGGGAGGCGATGCGATGACACCTGCGAAACCTCGGGCCTGGCAGTCCATGGGCCATTTGGCAGGAGGGGACGAGCAGCCTGCACTGCAGTATGGGCATGCCATGGAGACTGGCCCAACCTTTGGAAAGCCGCCAGCAACCCTCGCCGGCAGCCTTGATATCCTAGGCTGCGTGCTGGAAGCTGTGGAGGCTGCAACGGGGAGCGCTCTTACTCCGGACGTGCCATTCATGTCCAACGGCCTCGACTCAATTGGGGCAGTGGAGCTCAGGTGAGGTGGTGCGCAAACTGCACAGCAGCAGCAGATTTCATCTTTGCCTGCACTTCTCCAGCCTGAGGGACATGAACACATGGACTGGGCGGCCTCAAACCCCGGAGATGCACCACATCGACATTGTGGCCCACAACAACATCCCACTGTGCAGAAATGTCCTGGCTGACATGTTTGAGCTGGAGCTGCCTGCAACCATCGTGTTTGACCACCCCACTGCAACAACCTTGGCGACGGCCATTGCCGCGGATCTGAGGGAGCAAGGGGCGAACCCTAGGGAAATTCCCTCTGCAGTGCCAGCCACTCCTGCAAGCTCCAGCCTGTCCCTCCAGGACGTGTGCGGCGCTCTGTCGGAGCTGGGTGCTGAGATCACTGGAAAGCTAGTGCCCCTCAACACCCCGCTCCAACAGGTCAGGATGAGGACACTTTGGAGAATGGTGAGCGCATTGCATAATCGTGGCGATTGTGCTTATAAAATCTCTCACTTCCTGCGCCTCCCAATGCTTGTTCTCAGGCGGGGCTGGACTCCTTGGCCATGGGAGAGCTGGCGGCGGCCATCTCCGATCGGTTCGGCCTCGACATCCCGCCCACCGCCCTGTTTGACTTCCCCACCCTGGGCTCCCTGGGCACACGCATCCACGAGCTGAGAAGCATAGTCCGGCCCAGTCGCAGTGGTCAGGACTCAGTGCCAGTGCACCAGCTGCCAGAGCTGAGGGGTAGCGTACAGCTCATCAGCGATGCCAGAGGTGATTTTCCGGGGGTCTACAGAGATGACAGCTCGACCTCTTGGCTGGCATGCCTCGCCAGCGCCCAGGAAGCTGCCGCACCCCTGCACCTCGCCCGCTGGGACATGGACAGGACGTACAGCCCAGAAGTGTCTGACACCGGCACTGTGGCGTGTCGCTTCGCCACCATGTTCCGAGGACAGGAGCATCTCCTGTTTGATGCCGAGCTGTTTGGGCTCAGCGCGAGAGATGCTGCCCTCGCTGACCCCCACCTCCGCCTCCTCCTCCAGCATGCCCAGGTGGGGTTCGGGGGATCGACACACAATCAAGGTGCTTGCCCGGCCACAGTGCAAGCTTTCATTCTGTTACAAGCTGAGGTGGTGGATGGTGTGGCGTTCCAGTCGCCAATTCCATGGGCGGCCAAGCGGGCGCATCAAGCGTCGCCCCCCTGAAGCAACCATCCTGCTCCCTCCTCGATGCCCTCCCGTGCAGATGCTGCTGTCTGGTCAGCCGGAGGCACACCGCACCAAGCACGTGGGCGTGTACATCGGCTGCATGTGGGCGGAGGACCACACGGCGACCTTGCCACCTGCCGCCGCCGTCAACCCTGTCGCCAGCACAGGCAATGGGCTGAGCTTCATGGCCGGTCGCCTGGCTTTTGCCTTTGGCCTCCGGGGCCCAGCTTCGGCTGTGAACACCGCCTGCTCCTCCTCCCTGGTGGCCCTGCACTTTTCCACTCACGGTGAGTATGCTTGCTCAAGAGCTTGGCAGCGCTCGGGAGTCCCTGCCTTCATACATGGCTCTCCCTGATCATGCACTCCTGAACACATCCTGCCCTGCACCCCTCGCCAGGCCTGCGGGCAACAGACTGCGAGGCGGCACTGGTGGGCGGGGTCAGCCTGGTGCTCGACTCCGGCAGCGCGGCCAAGATCAGCGCGCTGCAGGCGCTGTCCCCCTCTGGGCGCTGCCGGGCCCTGGACGAGGCGGCGGACGGCTACGGTAGGGGCGAAGGCGTGACGGCCCTGCTGCTGACCACGGCCGACCCTGTCGAGGCTGTCCGCTCACTCAAAGCGGCCTCGGGCCCGCTGGCGGTGCTGGCGGCCACTGCGGTGAACAGCACGGGGCTTGCCAGCGGCGTCACGGCGCCCAGCGGCCCCGCCCAGCAGCGCCTGCTGGCAGATGCCATGCGGCGCGCGGGCGTGGCAGCGGATGGCGTGCAGTCCCTGTCCCTGCACGGGACGGGGACGCCGCTGGGAGATCCCATCGAGGTCGGCGCAGCGATGGCCCAGCTGGGGCAGAGGGGCGCCGCCTGCTTGTCCCTGGCTGCCACCAAGGCTGTGTTTGGGCATGCAGAGGGCACGGCAGGTGAGAGCTGACTTTGGAGAAGAAGGGGGGGGGGGGCAATAGGGTTTGGAAGAGAAAGCGTCAAGGGCTGTCAATGAACATGGTAAAGAGCATCAACACAGCCAGTTCACATCCATCTGATCCAGTACCTCCCAGGCTCCTTGCATCGCCTCAAGGCACCCACCTCCCACTTCTCACGCCGCAACCCAAATCACGACCCTTTCCAGGCCTGCTGGGGGTTTTGGCGGTGACAGCCGGTTTGCAGCAGCGATGCATGGCGCCGGTGGTGAACCTGCGATCCCTCAATCCCTACGTCTCGCACGCCCTGGCGTCCAGCGCTTCGCCGGGGGGGATTGCGGTGCCTCGACAGCCAGCCCCGGCGAGGGCCTCCTCCAGCGTCGCAGGTGGCCTGACACGGTGGGAGTGCTGCATGCATCAGGAATGCAGAGGCAACCATGCTCACCGCCGCAACTCCATGGCCCATGTCCCTTCATTCCTCACACAAGCTCCGCTGCATATATGCAGGCACCAGCTCGTTCGGCATGAGCGGCATCAACGCCCACGCCCTGGTCAGGCCGCTGGGTGCACCTCCCGCAGTGCTCGGTCACCCTGGCTTGGCGTGGCAGCAGCAGGTGTGCCGGTTAAGCCCCGCGCCTCACCCTTTCCTGTCCTCCTGGGTTGAGGAAGGGGCCTTTGCCATGCGCCTGGTCCAGCCAGGGCTAGCTGCAATCTGGGACCACTGTGTGGACGGACGTGCCCTGCTGCCGGCAGCTGCCATGCTGGAGGCTTCATGGGCGGCCGTTGCCAGCCTGACTGGGAGCTCAGCCGGGCAGCTGCTGGGTCGGGCAGCCTTCTCGGCGCCACTCCCGCTGACCAGCGGCTCGGCGCAGGAGGTGGAGGGGGGGGGGGGGCGAATAGGGTTTGGAAGAGAAAGCGTCAAGGGCTGTCAATGAACATGGTAAAGAGCATCAACACAGCCAGTTCACATCCATCTGATCCAGTACCTCCCAGGCTCCTTGCATCGCCTCAAGGCACCCACCTCCCACTTCTCACGCCGCAACCCAAATCACGACCCTTTCCAGGCCTGCTGGGGGTTTTGGCGGTGACAGCCGGTTTGCAGCAGCGATGCATGGCGCCGGTGGTGAACCTGCGATCCCTCAATCCCTACGTCTCGCACGCCCTGGCGTCCAGCGCTTCGCCGGGGGGGATTGCGGTGCCTCGACAGCCAGCCCCGGCGAGGGCCTCCTCCAGCGTCGCAGGTGGCCTGACACGGTGGGAGTGCTGCATGCATCAGGAATGCAGAGGCAACCATGCTCACCGCCGCAACTCCATGGCCCATGTCCCTTCATTCCTCACACAAGCTCCGCTGCATATATGCAGGCACCAGCTCGTTCGGCATGAGCGGCATCAACGCCCACGCCCTGGTCAGGCCGCTGGGTGCACCTCCCGCAGTGCTCGGTCACCCTGGCTTGGCGTGGCAGCAGCAGGTGTGCCGGTTAAGCCCCGCGCCTCACCCTTTCCTGTCCTCCTGGGTTGAGGAAGGGGCCTTTGCCATGCGCCTGGTCCAGCCAGGGCTAGCTGCAATCTGGGACCACTGTGTGGACGGACGTGCCCTGCTGCCGGCAGCTGCCATGCTGGAGGCTTCATGGGCGGCCGTTGCCAGCCTGACTGGGAGCTCAGCCGGGCAGCTGCTGGGTCGGGCAGCCTTCTCGGCGCCACTCCCGCTGACCAGCGGCTCGGCGCAGGAGGTCTACCTGCGGCTCAGCCCCAGCCTCGAAAGCATGGTGCTGGAACCCAGAAGACATCAGCCCTGCTTCAGCGTCGAGGTTACGACAGCAAGGCCGTGGCAGGGACCAGGAGTTGAGCATGTTCGTATGACGACCAGGGGTCTGGCGCCGCGTGGCTGGAGCAGAGAGCTGGTGCCGAGTGTGAGCCTGCCCCCAGCGTCCTCTCCCGCCTCTGTCGGCTTCTTCTCAGAAGCCAGCGGTACCGCGACGGAGATCCTGTCTGCACACATCGACGCCATGTTCCATCTTGGGGCTGTTCCAGTGGGAGGCGCGTCGGCCGCAGCCCTCCACGTGCCCACTCAGGTGCAAGGCTTTGCCCTGCCCACCAAGGACGCCGGCGGGCGGCTGGTTGGCCACTGCTGCGTGAGGTCGACGCCATGCAGCCCCGCCAGAGGGTCTATCACCAGCTGTGGCGGCGCACAATTTGGCCCAGAGGGCGCGGGAATGGCAGTGGAAGGCCTGACGGCCAGGCCACTGCGGCGGGGTAGTGACACCCCCGGCTCTGCCGGGCCGGCTACGAGCAAGACAGGTCCTGAGGATGTCCTCTATCAGATGGACTGGCTGGCCAGCAATGCCTCAACCATGACTCACCCTGATACAGCGTTGCAAAGCCGAGCGGTCCCCCCAACATCAATCTCGGCCAGGAGCTGGGTGGTCAACCTCGTCGAGCCGGCAGCAGCGCGCTCGGCGGCCGCTGCCTCCCTCCAGCTGCTACAGTGCTTGAGGATGAAGGGTGCCGACAGGATCCATGGGAAGAAAGCAGGAGCAAGCGAAGCGTTCGGGACCGGGTGCGCTGGGTTCCTCTTGGGACAGGTGGCATGCATGCTGCATGCTGGAGATGGCACTGCTCATCCCTGAGACAGCCTCGACCGAGCGTGCAACCCCGCCTGCCTACCCCTGCACCATCTGACAACCCCTTGTCAGGGTCTCGCAAGCCGGTAGTGCCGCGTCGATGCTGCACGCTGCCGCCAAGGTCGCCGCAGCAGAGCAGGGTGAGGCCCCCTGGCCGCTGCACCTGGTCTCCGAGCTGAGCGCCAGACAGGGTTGCAGGGAAGACTCTCTGCACGGCCCGCCCTCGAGCGCAGCACACGGGCAGGTGGTGCATGCCGAGGTCCTGGCTCGCCACTTCACGACGTAGGTTGGCACTGGGTTATGAGTTTAGACACCTTTATCCCAGCATGACGGTTGCTGTGGCACATGCAGGGTCTGGAGAGTCTTGGTGTTGTCACTGATCCCCTTGCTCTCAAACCTCCTCGACACCCAGGCGCGTTCCAGAGGGGCCCCTGCGCATCGCTCCCACCCAGCGTGGGAGCCTGGGCTCGCTGGCGGCCCTGCCTGGCACCCTGGCACCCCGGCCTGGAGACTCTGTGACCCTCAAGGTCCTGGCTGTGGGCCTCAACTTCAGGGATGTGCTGAATGTGCTGGGCATGTACCCCGGAGACCCCGGGGAGCCCGGCAGCGACTGCGCCGGCAGGGTGACTTCAGTGGCCACGCCCGCCTGCTCCCTCAGGTGACAGCGGATGGTTGTAATGGATGTGTGCCATGGTTCCTCAGGGCGGATGGTCACCTCACAACTACTCAAAGTGGTCACAAGGAGTGCCAGCCCCCAGCACAACCCCCCTCTCTCATCTGCAGGCCCGGCGACGTCGTGTTTGGCCAGGCCACAGGGTGCCTGGCCACCCACGTCGTGGCCAGCCACCACACACTGGCCCCGGTCCCCCCCGGCGTGTCCCTCGCCGAGGCGGCCGCCCTGCCCACCGTCTTCCTCACCGCCATGCAGTGCCTGTGGCACGCCGCCAGTGTCAAACCGGGCCAGCGCGTTCTGGTGCATGCCGCGACGGGCGGGCTGGGCCTGGCCCTGACCCAGCTCTTGGTGCTGCAGGGGGCCCGCTGCTGTGGCACCGCCGGGAGCCCGGGCAAGAGGGCGGCGCTGCGGGGCAGCGCCCACGTCATGCTGGACAGCCGCAGCACAGGTGGCGGGATGGGGTATTATTCTGATGAGGGAATGTTGATCTCGGTTGCCAATAGATGGTGCTGATTGCATTGGTGCCAATACTTGCAATCCTTGCATGCTCATCGCCTCGGTGCTGCCTTCAGCGTCCTGGTGAAAGGATTTGTATGAAGACGGGAAGTCTCAAACCTCTCACCACGCTCACCCAAACCATAGCATTTGCAACGGAGGCCACAACCCTTTTGGGCACCATTGACGTGGTGGTCAACTCCCTGACCTCCCCTGGGATGGTGGCAGCCTCCCTGGCAGCACTGTGCCGGGGCGGTGCCTGGGTTGAAGTAGGAAAGCGCGACATCTGGTCCCCGACACGCATCGCGCAGGAGCGGCCCGATGTCATGGCGTCCCTGGTGGCCATCGACTTTGCGCCGCCGCCGGTGCTGGCACCCGGCATGCAGCGCATCGCCGCCCTGCTGGCAGCTGGTGGGCAGTGATGATGGGAGTGTGTTCTGAAATTGGGGAGAGGGTGTTCCCCATCATCTTGCCATAGGTCTAGCCCTGGTATGATCCATAATAGCACCCTCCTATCCTGCCCATTTCACCCTCACATTTCTTATTACATTCTCGCCCACTTCAGGCCACATCTCCCCCATCTGGTCCTGCCACTACGGGCTGGGGTCCGTGGCTGCTGCACTGCGCACGCTGAGTGCGGCACGTCACGTGGGCAAGGTCTTGGCGGCCGCACCGGCCCCTCTCCCGGGCAAGGAGGGCTCCGCAGGGACGTGGCTCGTCACCGGCGGCACCGGCGCCCTGGGAGCGCTGGCCGCTGCACACCTGGTGACAGCCGGAGCCACGCACGTGCAGCTGTCCTGCCGCTCGCGGCCTGCGCGCTGGGAGGGCATCGACGCCGGCTCAGCGGCCTGCGTCACCGCCGTCCAGATGGACGTGGTGGCGTGCGCCGACGGCGCCGGCTGGTTGACGTGCACGCCAGCAGCGGGGCTGCTCCATGCCGCCGGCGCCGTGAGCGACGCCCTCCTCCCCAGGCAGACCCTGCGAGGCGAGAGCGGCGTGGGAACTGTTTTGTAGAGCGGTGGCGCATGAGTGCTCCTGCTTTGTTTGGGGGTTCTGGTTGCCAGATGACTACATGTTCTGTATGGGAGCTCTGCTGCTTCACTAAGTTGCTCCCTCATGGGAACCGGGTGCAGAAACCGGGAGCAACAATGACAAACGATCCCAGCCCCATCACAATCCCCCCAAAACAACCCACCCCACTGGCAGGCCTAGCCAAAGTCTGGGCGCCCAAGCCGGCCGCCACGGCTCTCCTCCTGGACCGCCTAGGTTGCCGCCCCGCCGAGACGGTGCAGCTCTTCTCCAGCATCGCCTCCTGCCTGGGCGGCCCTGGCCAGGCCAACTACGCCCTGGCCAATGCCGCGCTCAATGGACTTGCCGCGGGTGGCGCGGCGCGCGGCAGGCCGGCCATCGCCGTGGCCTGGGGCCCCTGGGCCGGCGCCGGCATGGCTGCTGCCGCCGGGCTGGGGCGGCTGGAGCGCCAGGGCTACGGCGCGCTCACGCCCGCCCATGGCGCGGGCTTGGTGCTGGCCCTGATGAGAGCGCACGCCAGACCCGGCGTCGGGTCGTTCCTCCTCGCGGCGCGCATGCACTGGGGCCGTAGGGATAATTGGCCGATTGTGCTGGGATCTGATACCAAGTGTCCGGGTATTATGGACGTGGCACTTGATGATAAGAAGGGGATGCCTGCAAAGGCCGTCGCAAGCTTCCCTGGCGCCGGGAAGGTGGTGTCCCAAGCTGTGATCACACAGCAGGTTGCTGACTGCATCGCCGCCGTGCTGGGTGCAGCCCCCGCCACTGATGCTCCCCTCCTGGCCGCCGGGCTGGACTCCTTGGGTGAGTGCGACTGAGTATTTTGCAACCTTGGTCACCAACGGCAATGAAAACCTTGCATGTCCTTGCTGCTCCACCATAATAACCTCCTGCCCCACAACCCGCTCACCCGACCAAAAGGTGCCATCGAGCTGCGGAATGCGCTGGCCAGCGGCTTCGGCGTCAGCTTGCCAGGGACCCTGGTGTTCGACCACCCGACGCTGGGTGCCATTGCGCAGTACCTGGCAGAGGCCCTGGCTCAGACGCAGGCCGCACCCGATGGATTGTCCATCGCCATCCACGTCACGGCCGGACAGCCTGCCACGCCGAGGCCCCTCGCTGAAGCCAGGGCCCTCCCCGTCTACCTGGAGGCTGTCACTGGAGACCTGCCGTGCACGGGGAGGCTGGGCATCACATCCATGACCTTCCCCATGCGCGATGCAATGGGACCCGTTCCCCTGAGCCGCTGGTCCCTGGACAACCCGCCGGTCAAGGGCTTGGTGCTGCCACGCTTCGGGGCCTTCCTGCTGGACTGGGAGAGGTTTGACGCCGCAGCCTTTGGTCTGAGCCCTGCAGGCAAGTTGTTTTGTTCTAGGGAGTTGTGGTGAGCGATGCCTTACAGCGCACCCCACCCACATAGTTTACCCGTGGGAGTCCTTCAAGGTTGAGGTCGCTGGTCCACATGGATGCCCAATCACCCCTCCCCAGCCGTATCCATCATCCTGTCCCTGCCACAGAGGCCGCACTCATGGACCCGCAGCAAGGCTCCCTCCTCTCCCACGCCGCCGGCCTGGTGCGCCCCGACACCTCCACCGCCCTCCCCACCGCGGTCTTCGTCGGCATCGCACGCGTGATCGACTCCGCCGCCGCGTCAGCATCCACTCTGGCAGCCATCGCCGCAGGCAGCGGACACGCAGCTACCGGCAAGGCCCTGAGCGCCGCCGCGGGGAGGCTGTCGTACACCTTTGCCCTGACTGGCCCATGCGTCTCCCTGGACACCGCCTGCTCCTCCTCCTTGCTGGCCCTGCACCTTGCGGCCGGCGCCGTTCGGGGGCGGGAGACAGGTACTGCGCTGGCGGCGGGCGTCAACCTGCCCATGGTCTGCGAGACCACGGCCGCCTTTGCCGCCGCAGGTGAAACTGGGTAGGAAGGCAAAGGGTTCGGTGGCTGAAGCCGAATGAGGGGGCTGGAGTGGAAGGGAATTTGCTAGCAGCACTAGGTCTGCTGTGTGCCGCCTGTCCTTGACACCCGTTTGTACTACTGCCCCATCCTCTTTGACTTAATTCCATCACTTCTCCGCTCACAGGCATGATGTCGGCATCGGGACGTTGCCAGACCCTGGACGCCGCGGCAGATGGCTACTCCCGCGCCGAGGCCTCAGTCGTCTTGCGGCTGGGACGAGGGGACCCTGCCGGGTCTGCAAGCAGCGCCCCGCCCCTTCTGATCATGGGCAGCGCCACCAACCAGGATGGTCGGTCCAGTGGCTTGACGGCGCCCCATGGCCCCAGCCAGTCCAGGGTAGTGGCGGCTGCTGCAAGGCAGGCGGGGGCCTGCCCAGGAGCCTTTGAGATGCACGGCACTGGCACACCCCTCGGCGACCCCATCGAGGTGTCCGCCCTTGCCACCGTGATGTATGCCCTGGGAAGGGGAGATGCTGAAGGTGAGCTGGTGCATCCCTGATTGAGGCTCTCTTGTCTGATAAATGGACTTCTACAAGGGCAGGCACGTCCTGGCATGCAGTGGTCCACGCATCAAGAAACATCAGCAACGCTCACCTCGTCCACCATCCTCCCACAGACTCAGCACCAGCCACCCTCCAGGCCCTCAAGTCCACGATGGGGCACGCAGAGACGGCAGCGGGAGCTGCCAGCCTGGCACACGCTGCCGCGTGCCTGGGCGCAGGCCTCTGTCCGTCGCTGCTGCACCTCAGGTTCCTGAACGGCTACGTGCTGGAGGCGATGGAGGGAGGTGGCCTTGCCCCGCCCCGGCAACAAGCCCCATCCCTCGCCGTCGGCCACCCATCCTGTGGCGTCAGCGCCTTTGCCTTCCAGGGCACCAACGCGCACGTCGTTCTGGGTCTGGGGCCCAGTGAAGAGACAGTGTGGGCATCTGTGTTGCCAAGTATTGCCGCGTCAGCGTGTTCCCTGCTCCGAGCCAGGAGGTGGACGGCCGTACCGAGGCCCCATCCCCTCGTGCAGAGGGCAGCGAGGTCTGGCGGTGCGGGTCTGGCAGAGTTTTACACCCTCCTTGATCAACCATCCCTTGCATACCTCGCTGATCATCAGGTGGGTGAGGGCAGATCGGTGAATCTCTGGTGGCCGCCAATTCCTGTACAGCTTGCTGGGTTGGGAGGTCTGCTTCACTCCATGACAAGCACTCCTCCATCAGCTATCTCCACACAACCCCATTGCCGACAGGTCGAAGGGCGTGCCCTAATCCCTGCAACCGCCCTGCTGGCCTGCGCCTGGGCGGGCGGCGCCGCGCTCTCCCCCAGCGGCCCCGCGCCCTGTGTCCTGGCGGCCACGCTGGCTCGCCCGCTGATCCTGGGCGAGGGGCCGCTGACGATGGTCTGCACAGTGGACCTAGAACGCCAGGCCGTAATGGTCGGCAGCCTGGGAGCGGCAGGGAGGGAAGCAAAGGGGCGGATAGCTCATGTCCAAGCAAGCCTGGCTGGCACGGCGGCTGGCCTGCCTGGCCAACAATGGACCCGCACCGACGCGGCAAAGCGATGCCTTACGGCATGCCTTGCAGTCACCTCCGCATCGGCACGCCTGTTGCCCCTGGCTCGCCTGCAGGCTCCAACGCAGTCTGCGGCTGCCGACGCTGATGCTGCGCACCCCGCAGCCGCAGACGCCACGCTGCACCTGATCGCGGCGATGATGCAGGGTGTAGCCCCGCTCCACGTGCCCTCAGGCGCCGCTGCCTTCAACGTCGGCACCGCAGGGCAACCCGCAGGGCACGTACCCGAGCCCTGGGCGCACCTTTCGGAGCACTCGCGGCCGACGGGCGGCGCGCTGCGTGCCGGCGCGACCATCCACTGGACGGGCACGGCCCGGCTCGAGGGCCTCGTGCTCTCGCCCATGCATGGCCGGCCGGCAACCGAGGAGGCCGCCCGCCTGCCGGCCTACATCGAGGAGCTGCAGGTGCACAGGTGGCTGGCGCAGGACGCTGATCTCTCAAGCAGCATGTCCGGCCTGGGTGTCAGGCTCACACGCGGTGACCTCCAGATATGCATGAGGAGTAGAGGTGACCAAGAAATCACCGAAGCGGCGCTGGCAGCCCCAGTCCTGGCCACGGTGCAACTCCTCCGCGCAACTAGGAGCAGGCTGAAGCTGCAGGCCATCGACGACGCTTGCCCCTCGCCTGCGCCGCTCCGCGCCGGCCCCTCCACCCTGGGGCTTCAGGCGGCCAAGATCCTGGGTTGCGCCGTCTCTGAAGCCTGGCTGACCGAGGGGGTGGGTGAGCGCTGGCACTCCGCCCTCAGCGGGGTTGCCACAGTAGCAACCGGTGACGACGACACTCTCTCCCCGGCGCTCGCTGAGCGCGCGGCGGCCGGCCATATAGACCGCCCTCTCCTGCTCAAGCTGCATCAGCTGCCGGAGAATGTGCATCCCATCCCCCTGTACCATCCTTCGAGTGGTGAGGGGGGCCGGCGGTGGTATCAAGCGGCCTTCCTGAAAGCCGTAATTTTGTTTGACATGCATGCACACTCAGCTGGCAGGGCCGCGCTGTAGTCCAGCCGAGGTGCAACCCCTAACCCCCCCCTCCTCCTTTCTTCCTCGGCCACGCAGTGCTCATATCCGGGGGAACGGGGGTCCCTGGGACGGCTGGTGGCTGCCTGGCTGGGCGAAGGCTCCCAGTGCGTGACCCTGCACGCGCGCCGGGCCCTGCTCACCCAGCTTCCAGCGCTGTCCGCTTCAAACCCGGCCTGCATCTGGACCCTGCTCCAGGGTCATAATGCCCTGGCGGCCAATGCCCACGACCACCGCGCTGTGCACGCTGTGCACGTGCTGGCTGGCGGCGTCCTGGCCGACGCCGGGATCGCAGGCCAGTCACCCTCCTCCCTGCGCGCGGTCGCCGCGCCCAAAAGCACAGCATCGGCCTCCCATCGGCACCAGACCGCCGCCGAGCCGGTGAACATCTGCCTGCTGTTCGGCTCGGCGGCCGCCCTGGTGGGCAACGCCGGCCAGGCCGGGTATGCGGCCGCAAATGGGACTCTAGATGCCCTCGCGCAGCGCGCACAGCGTGAGGGCCTGCGCTGGCACAGCACGCAGTGGGGGCCCTGGGCCCACGGTGGCATGGCCGACGCAGGCACCTTGCGCCGCCTGGCAGGCCAGGGCATGGTCGGCATCGCACCCGCGCACGGGTTGCACGCGCTGGCCCGAGCAATGGCAATGGCGAGGCCTCTGCCGCCGCCCGTCGTGCTAGCCATGCGTGTCCTGGACTGGGCCCGGGCCCTGGGGCCGGTCCATGGCCAGCGTCCCCGGTTCGCTGAGGTGGCGCCTACGAATGGCGCCACAATCGACGACTTGGCTGAGAGCATCGGGGCCCTGATCGCGGCGCAGCTGGGCCGCAGGCCCCTGCCCAATCAGACCTTTGCCGCGGCGGGGCTGGACGCCGACGGCAGACGTGCGCTCTGCTCCGCGCTGGGCGCAAAATACAGCGTACCGCTGGAGCCACAGGACCTGGTGGATCACCCGGATGCCCTGCGCCTCGCCCTGCTCATCGCCGAGCGGGCGGGTGAGACGCCTCGAAGCAAGCCTGCCGAGCAGCTTGCACGTCAAAGCCTGGGCTCTGCGGGCACCCACCAGCCACTGACGCGAGCAGACACGTTGCGCCGGGTGCGGGACACCGTCGCCAGCGTCCTCGGCTCCCTGCCCGGCGACGGGGCGCCTCTGCGTGAGGTGAGCCGCCGACTGGGCGTGTGGGATGGGGGCTGTGAGCGCCAGTGCTGACATCACCACGCCCTGCCCAGATGCCCATTGACGGAGGAGCGGAAGAGAGGTTGCCTGGGAGCGACAGCGGTGGAACCAAAACCAGGCACGAAAATCTCCTGACACACTCTCCGTCCCTTGCCTCGTTCCACAAACAGGCCGGGCTGGACTCCATCGGCAGCATTGAGCTGCAGAACCGTCTGCAGACCCAATTCTCGGCGCAGCTGCCCTCGACGCTCAGCTTCGATTACCCGACCCTGTCCAGCCTGACAGACTTCCTTGAGTCCCTGGGGAGCGCAGACAAGGAGGTGGCTGTGGAGCGACCGGCGCTGGAGGCTCCCCCAGAGTCACAGCATGCCGTGGTTCTGGCCATGGCGTCCTTTGAACTCTCAGGATGCCGCGGGCCACAGACAGAGACTGCTCGGTGCGCTGCCAGGGGCTGGCATTCGCATGGTCTCCCTGCTCTCACAAGTGTCGACGGTGCCTCCTTCCGGCATGTCTGCTGAAGTTGCGAGATCTGAGCGACCACCTTCAACTCCCATCACTGCTTCCATGCAGGGCGTTCAGTGCCGGGGTGGACAACGTACAGGTGGTGCCGAGGAGCCGCTGGGACATCGAGCAGCACTACCACCCCGGAGGAGCAGCGCACAGGATGTACGTTCGATTCGGCCAGTGGCTGGACAGGGCGTACGAGTTTGACGCGGCCGCCTTCAACCTGAGCAAGAGGTGAGAGATAGGGGTCATGGATGTGCAGTGCTCTGAGCCAGCTGCTCCGTGCAGAGATTTATTTGAGATGGGAGTTGACAGGTCTAGCTCCTTGTGACCAAGCAAGGCAACCCTGAAGGCTGTGTCTGATCCTTGGATCAACTATACCTTTTCCCCTGATGCACCTATCACTGCACCGCCTGCCACAGCGAGGCGACCACCCTGGATCCACAAACCCGGCTCCTCCTGCAGCATACAGCAGCCCTGCAGCCCTACATCCCGTCAGACGCAACAGGAGTCTACGTTGGGTGCATGTACACAGGTGAGGAGCGGTGCATTTGATTCAGCAGCGATGTACTGTTTGTGCAAATTCTGCAAACACAGCAATCTGGCATGCATATGGGCATGCATTCCAGACTGACAACCGCTTCCCAGCAGGACAACTAGTAAACAACCCTGAACACCGCTGCCACACCTGCACCGCAGAGTACCTTGATTCTGTGCTGAAGGCTGCAGGTCTGGCAGATACCCAGGCCTCCTCCATCACAGGCCATGGCCTGTCATTCATGGCAGGGCGCCTCAGCTACACCTTCGACCTGCGGGGTCCCTGCGTCGCCCTTGACACAGCATGCTCCAGCAGCCTAGTGGCTGTCCATCATGGGAGACAGGTAGGGGTCCGGCATGTCGAAAGGGCTGATTCCCTGGAGCTGCTGGAAGACAGCTTCCTCACCGATGGCTGTGTTGCTCCCACAGCACATTCTTGCTTGCCTCAGGTTCTTTGTTTGATAAATCCCAACACCTTAACCCTCCCATGCTGCAACGCTGTCGCAGGGTATTGCCAGCGGGGAGTCAGTGTCCGCTCTGGCGTCCGGCGTCAATCTGATGCTCGACCCAGGCACGACCAGCCGCATCTGCCTCCTCAAAGCCCTCTCTGCGGTGGGCAGGTGCCAGACGCTGGACGCCTCGGGCGACGGCTACGGTATGTGGGTTGGGGGCTCAGAGGGTTTCGGCAGAGCTGCGCCCACACCGCAGGTACCAATTGCTCGTGCCCGGCCCAGCCACAGTATCACCCACTGAGTTCCCTCCATTATCTGGTCAGGGCGCGGAGAAGGTGCTGCCACACTCCTGCTCAAGAGGCAGGCTGCCCAGGGTCAAGAAGCACACGCCCCGGGAGCTGACCTGGCACTGCTGCAGGCCAGCGCGGTGAACCAGGACGGGCGATCTAGCAGCCTGACGTCGCCCAGCGGGCCCTCCCAGACGGCGCTGCTGGCGGCCTGCCTGCAACAGGGCGCAGGGGCTTTGACCCTGTCTAGCGCGGCGCTGCACGGGACCGGGACCCCGCTGGGGGACCCCATCGAGGTCAATGCGCTGGACGCTGCCCTGAAGGGTAGCGTCGGCCAGCTGAATGGTGACGACGTCGCGGCTCCTCGGGTGCTCCTGACCTCCAGCAAGGTTGGTGTTGCCTGTTTGTGGTATGGGAGCCTTGGAATACTCCATCAAGCAGTGGGGTTCATTGTGGTGATATGGTGAGAACGACATCTCCTGACCTTGAGGGCACTGTGCATGCTACATACAAAGCTGCATCCAAACTCCACAGTTGAACCGGCCTGTGCCACACCTCGGAATTGTTCCTTTCGGTTCACCCCCTGAGCGCATCCCCAACTCTGCATCCCCTTCACACCCTCTCCTCAGGCGCTCTTCGGGCACACTGAGGGCGTGGCGGGCGTGACCGGGGTGCTCCTGGCAGCGGCGACCACCAGCACCCGCCGCGCGAGCCTGATGCCCACCCTTCGGACCCTGAATCCCTTTGTCACGGCAGCGCTGGCGTGCTTCAGCGCCGCACGCCAGACGGGCCCTGTGCCGGCAGTCTTGGGGTCAGAGCCTGCCGCCGGGGCCACCAGCTCCTTTGGCATGAGTGGCGTAAATGCTGCCGCCCTGCTCTCCGCCCCGACCGGTGGGGACTTGGAAGGCGCCGGGGTCCCGGCTGCACAGCCCTGGCAGCTCCAAGCGGTGCAGCCGCTGCCTGCCTGCCACGCCTGGGTCCGGCCGGGGCCATGCGTGGGCGTGGTGCTGCTACGGCACGCCGGCGCCTCTGCCCTCGAGGACTGCTCGATCCATGGCCAGAAGGTCCTGGTCCTGGGGGGCGGGCTTGAGATCCTGGCGGCCGGTTGCAGCATGCACTTTGGTGCTGGACCTGAAAAGGAGTTTGCCCTGCGGAACGTCACCGCCGCCTCGCTCCTGCGGTGGCCAGGGGAGGAGTTGGCGCTGCGCCTGGACGGCGTCACCGGCACGGCCCAGCTGCAAGGGCTGGGAAGGGGCGCTATGCTGCAGACCAGCGTGGCCACCCTGCCCATGCGTGCTCAGTCCAGCACTTCCCCGCCAGGCGCAAGCTGTGCGCGTCGGCAATTGCGCTCCTGGCTCGTGAAACCTGCGTGTCCTGTCTTGGACGCCGGCGCGGTGGCCATGGTGCAGGCACGGGCTCGTGCCGCCTCCCATCTGAGGTGAGGTGGGCAGTCGTTCTATGCTGGATTGATTCACATCTCACAACAATCTGTCCAAAGACTGCCATCCCCCCTCAAGCTCCACACAGGTTGCACATCGATCCTTGGATGCTGCAGGGTGGGACAGACCTGCAGCATATCAATGCTGCACAGGAGCGGGCCGTTGCTGTCGAAGGCATCCTTGCACCAGGTGGCTCACGATGGGAGCCATGAAGGGAGGTTGATCCAGGATCATGCGCTGGGAGGGGTATGGAACAAGAGTTCATTTCCTTGATGAGATTCTAAGCAATACGCCTGCCCCCATCTGCAGCCCCAAGGACCCCGCGCGCAGCCTGGCTGGTTGCCGGCTGCAATGCGCTTGCCTGCCGCAGCACAGCTGGCGATCGTTCCAACCTGCATGCCTCCACAAAACCCGTACTTGAATGCGGCATCGATGGCATGAGGGCTCGAGCACAGCCATTTCAGGAGTCTCAACACCCCATGTATACTGTGGAGTGGCAGGCGAGGAGTGGTCCCGTGTCTCTGCCCAGTACGCTACACCAATGCTCAAAGACCCTGCGGCATGCGGGCGCCGGTATCATTGACCAGAGCACAGGAGCCTCTTTCTGGGTCTCTCCAGCGCATTTGAGCACCACAGCCCTGCAAGCAATGCAGCTGGTGAGCGAGAGCCTTGGGTCCTGGGGGGTGGCCCTGCATGCGCGTGAGCGATTCCTCGCATGTGTTGATCCTGGCAGCTTGCTTCCGAGCAACACCTCCTGATCGCCAATTCCAGATCCTGGCCAGCACTGGCTTCAGTGGAGCTGGCGTGAGGTCGGCGGGCCCTCTGCTCCCTGGGCCGCATCTGCACTGCAGCCTCAACGCGGCTGCATGGGCAGGCACCAAGGTCGCCAACCTGGAGTCGGCCCCGCAGTGGTCCCACAAAGCGAGTGACCCCATGTCCCAGGTGAGCTCGCTGAGATTTGGAGGAAATGTAGGGTTCGCGATGGGAATGCAGGGTGTGCGGTGCAGTGATGAGCTTATGTTCCAAAAGCATGCTGGACACAGCTTCTAGATGCATGCATCGACCCACACATCCGTCAATTCATGGCAGGAGGGCAATCATTCCCTACCAAAGAACCCGGCTGCAGCGAGCAGATCCGCATTCGGAAACGCCGAGCGGGCCCGGGTTCTCTTTGAGCCCCTCCTGCTCAGCTCAGCCCCTCAGCTCAGTTCCGACTGCTTGAATACCATTGTAAGGGTCCCCAGGACCACCAACACCCGCCTGTCCATCCTGGTGGGAGGCACGGGCGGGCTGGGCGCCCTGGTAGCCGACCAGCTGCTGCACAGCCGGGCGGCCTCGCGGATCCTGATCCTGGGTCGGCGAGCCTCGACCCGCGAGCCAACCCGCCTGGCGGCCACTCTCTCTCGTCAACCCCCCGGGCTTGAGTCGCTGGTGTCCGTGGCCAGCGTCGACGGCGCCAGCGCCGCCGACCTCGCCGGGACGGAAGCCTGGCTTGCGGCGCAGGGCTGGGTGGTGCAGGACGTGCTGCACGCGGCCGGGGTCACGGCCGACGCAGCCCTCCCGCAGCAGTCGCCGGGGCGGGTGCGGCGGGCGGCCGCCGCCAAGTCGCTGGCCGGCGTGCTGGCGCTGGGGCGGGGAGTGCAGGCTCAGGGGCGCGTGGTGCTGTTCAGCAGCATCGCCGGGCTGCTGGGGAGCCGGGGCCAGTACAGCTACGCGCAGGCCAACGCGTGCCTGGACGAGCTGGCTGGAAAGCACGTGCACGAGGTGGGTGCGGGCCGGCAGTGATCGTCTGATGCACCCTGGCAAACTTCGTCCATGCCACAACCTCTGCCATGCCCCCCTCACCGGCACTCGCCAACCCCACCCAACTAACAGGGCATCCCCGCCACCAGCATCGCGTGGGGCGCCTGGGCTGGGGCCGGGATGGCGGCGAGCGGACCGGCGGTGGCGCGCCAGCTGGCGCGCATGGGGGTGGCCCTGCTCAGCCCGGCGCAGGGGCTCGGCATGCTGTGGGAGGTGCTGGGCGCCATTGCCGGGCCCCCGCTGGTCCTGGCGGCGACCATGCGCTGGGCCGCGGCGATGGCGGCCGTCGGTGACGCAGACCGCGCCTTCTACCGGGCCGTGGTGGCATCAGAAATGTGCGACGAGGGCAGTACGGAGCCCGATGCCTCGAGCGAAGGCCCGAGCGGCAGCGAGATTGTTTCAGACAACAGAGCTCCCACAGATGTGGCGGCCAGCACAACTCACCCAGACCAGGCCCCTCAGCGGCAAAGGATCTGGACCCAGGAGGCGGTGGAAGCGTTGGTCCTGGCGCTGGTGGGAGAGGCGGTGGGGTCGTCGGTGGAGGCCACTGCCCCCTTCATGGCTGCAGGGCTAGACTCCCTGGCCTCCGCCGACTTCCTGGCAAGTCTCGCGAAAGATTTGGGGCTGGAGGTACCCGTCACCGTCCTGTACGACCACCCCACCGCCCGCCAGCTCGCCGCCGCTCTCTTCCGCGAGCTCTCTTCCAAATCAATGGTTGGGGAAGGCCAGGCGAGCGCCGTGCCAATGGCGGGAGTCCCGAGCACTGCAGCGCCCGCCGCCGAGCCAGCAGCGCCGACCAGAGGCCAGACGGCAGCCAGCAAATCGACAGCCACAGCGCCGCCCCCTAACCCGGAGGCCCCCACCCTGTCGGCGCCGGGCTACTTCTGCATCCCCCCGCCCCAGGCGCTGGCACGCCTGTCCTCGGCGCAGCTGGCCGCCCTACCGCGATTCGTGCTGGGTCATAGGGACCACGGCGAGTTCCAGTTCCTGCAGCCGGTGGACCTGCGCGGCGCGAGGCTGGACGCCATGCTCAGAATGGACCGGGGACGGGCACGGTTCGTACCCCTGCTTCCAGACGGCGCCCCAGCGCCCCGGGGCGCCGCGCTCAACCGGCCCTGCCTCCTCATGCTCAAGGGCATCGGCTCTGCGTCCTGGGAGGGGGCCGACCTGGCAGCACTCAGGAAGAAGCTCGCGGCGGCATCTGCCGCCATGGGCGGCACGTTCATCGACTACTTCCCAGACAGCGGGCAGTGGCTTACCAAGCTGGATGGCTTTGAAAAGGGCAAGGGTGGCAAGGAATGATATGCTCGGGCCCCCTGTTCATTGTTTTGCTTGCTTGTGAGGATGGAGTTGCACATTTGCTCACCCCTTTCAACAACCGGTGGCGAGGGGAAGGTCGCGATTCCCGCGCCGCGCGCCAGGAGGGGTTCTGCATTGACCCGAAAACGAGGCACGGGCCAGACCTGTGCGACAACGCAAGCGGTCGCTACAGGCTGAGTTTATTGCAAAACTACTTATCGACACATCATGGGCGACTTCAGCCAGCTCGTGAACAAGGCACTGGGCCGAAATCAGGACACGGGGGGTGTGCAGTTCTGGGAGCACCCAGAGCGCGCAGGATGGCTGATGAAGCAAGGCAAGCATCCAAGGGGGTGATTTGGATGTTTAGTACTCGTGTTGGGTTTCGTAAGTTGTGAGGAGGCCAGCGCGGCACAGCGCACCTGATTCGCTGCCCCACATTGTCCTCACTGCAGGGGAAGTAATCAAGTCCTGGAGGAGAAGGTGAGGGTGCCTTGTAGTGCGAGACTCAGTTGTGCCACGAGATGCAAGACCGATTTGCTGAAGTTGGTTATGACACGCGTTGCAGGTGGTTTGTCCTCAAGCACGGCAAGATTTTCTGGTTCAAATCGGACGTCGTGCGGCCGGTAAGTCTTGCATGGAGTGTTTGCCTATTCAAGGGGGTGGGTGCTGCGTTTTGGTCGTCAACCCTAGCTATTGTCATGATCTCAGGTTGGTGTGCCTTTCTCTACTGCAGGACTCACAGCCTCGTGGCATCCTGGAGGTCAGTCGGTGTTGCGGTTGTGGACGGCGAAGCATTCTGCCATTTGCTCCAAAGCTGTGCCGGCCTGCCACCCGTGTCTGGGTTTGACGCTGAATGCACGCTGTCAAGATGCTGCAGCAGCAGCTCTGCGGCCGCATGACTGACCCTGGCCTGCACACTGAACCTCTTCACAGGTCAACCACTGCCTGTCTATCAAGGGCGCTGAGGATGCCATCAACAAGCCCCATGCGTTTGAGATCTCCACAGCGGATGCCAGCATGTACTTCATTGCCGACTCCGACAAGGTGTGCAGGGCGAGCAGAAGGAGGGGGAGGGAGATGTGTTGGTCAATGCCTGTTTGTTGCAGCTGCATCCTGTCCTGTGTGCCTGTGATCCCGCTGGAGCTGAGCTGTTATGCGCCTCCACAGGACAAGGAGGACTGGATCAATGCCGTGGGTAGGGCCATCGTCAGGCACTCTAGAAGGTGAGGGGGAATGTTGAGACTTGGGCCTTCACCCTGAGTCTGTCGATGCGGGGTCGGCACCACTCATCTTAGTGCCTTAGCAATGCCTGGCGTCCTTTATCCCCCAAACAGCATGCTGGACCGGGATCAGGTGGACTACAACTACGGCAGCGGTGGGCGGTGATGGGAGGGCTCCGTCGCCATAGAGGGGGAGTCCCCAACCCCGGCTGCGCCCCAGCCCCTGGCACTGGTGTTGCAGGCGAGGCTCTGCTCAGCTGGAGCCTAGGGGCGGGAGGCCAGCGCTGCTGGGGTCATGCTGTTTTTCTCACCCTCCAGCTTGCCACACATGTGTTCCCTGGGGAACAACAGCAGCCAATGCCCCCGTTGGGAAAAATCCTACCTTGCTCAGTGTCCTCCTCCCCCTGCCCTGCACACCCCCTGGTCCACTGGACAACCCCCCAACCCTGCTTTTGAGAAGCACTCCCACCCACCCCCCCAAGCTTCTTCCCGCCGATCACCCCCTGGTTGAGAAGCACATGAGCCCCTTTGTAACAGTAGCCTTCATTCTTCATTTCCGCAATTGCACGGCCTAAAGCCACAGTCGTCCCCGCTCAAGCCAGGTGCTTGCGCACGGCCTCCAGGGAGGGCACGCGCGCCACGTCGCCCAGCGTGGCCAGCGTGGGCGGCTTGGCCAGCGCGGCCTTGACCGAGGCCTTCAGGTCCTTGGCGGTGAGCGCCTGGATGGCGGCGGCGAACTCGGCGGCGGGCTTGCGGCTGCCGTAGGTCAGCACCTGGCGCCCGATGTCCTCGGCCACCACCGCGCGGCTCTCCAGGTTCATGAGCACAGAGGACAGGGCGGCGGCCTTGGCACGCTCCAGCTCCTCGCCGTCCTTCAGGTCCGACACCAAGGCCGCGGCCTCGTCGGCCAGCACGCGGACGAGGTGGTCGGCGCGGTCCGCGTCTGCGGAGGCAAAGATACCCACCAGTCCCGTGTCGTTGTAGATGGATGACAGCGCGGTGCAGTTGCTGACCCAGCCGTGCTGGTTCAGCACGCGGCGGTACAGCCGGCTGTGCATGCCCTTGCCCGGGCCGCCGGCGGAGAATGAGCCGCCGCCGCCCAGCAGGTACTGCAGGACGGTGGCCGCCACCGATCCCTGCACGTCGCGCCAGCCGCCGGCAAACTCAAAGGCCAGGATGGCGTGGGTGAGGCCGCCGGGGGCGGCGCGCCGGAACTCGCCGCCGGTGTAGGCGGAGCCGCCTGAGGGGGCGGGGGGGCCGCCGGGCACGGCGGAGAACAGCGGCTCGGCCAGGCCGGCCAGCTCCTGGTGGTCCACGCCGGCTGCATGGGTGGGGGGGGGGGGATATTGTGTGTGTGGGGGGGGGCGGGGTTCTTGCAAGGGGCCAGTCACGGGTGCGCCAGTGCAGGGCCGGCGACGCCCGGCCAAGCCCTCATGAACGACGCCGCCCCGGGTCGCAGGCGGTGGCAACCCCGCGGAGCGCTGTCGGCCCAGGCATGGCGCCTTGACCCCCACCTTCCCCGGCGCCGGCCCTCACCTCCGGACAGCACGATGCGCGGCGCGGTGTAGTTCTCCGCCAGGAAGTCGGCGATGTCTGCCGGGGTGAGGCGCGCCGCGGCCCCCTCAGCCGCGATCAGGGGCTTGCCCAGGTCGCCCGAGTAGGCGGCGGCGTGCAGGCCCTCAAGCAGCGCCAGCTGCGGGTTGTCGGCCAGGCCCTTCAGGTCGGCCTCCAGCTTGGCGGCGGCGTCCCGCACCTCGTGCGGCGCCAGGCGCGGCGCCAGCACCGCGTCGGCCAGGACCTCCAGGGCTTCGGGCACCAGCGTGCGGGGCAGGTCAATGGTGTAGGCCATCTGCTCGCGCGAGGCGGAGGCCAGCACGTTGGCGCCCAGGGCCTCCACGTCGCGTACCAGGCGCAGGTGGGTGCGGTGCGCCGTGGACTTGAAGGCCAGGTACTCCAGCAGGTGGGAGACGCCTGTCAGGGGGCAGAGGGCCGGGCGAGGTGAGGCGCAAGGCATGGTACAATGACTGGTATGAGGATCAGTTGTAGGAAAGGTGAAGGGGGTCGCATTTATTGTAGGATCTAAGGAGGGGGCTGGACCAGGAAGGGTGTCAGCAGCCCTACAGCCAGAGCACGGGCTCCCTGCCACGCCCAGTCGCCTCACCAGAGTTGGCGGGGGTCTCATTCACGCTCCCAGACTCCACATAGATGCCAAGGGTGGCCGTCGCACCCTGTATATAGGAGGAATGGTGGGCAATGATCATACGAAATCAGCCATGCTGATCACCATTTGTGCGCCTTGCCGGGAAACCACCCCCACGGCAAATTCACTCTGCCCCTCCACCCACGCACCGGGGTGTTCTCGCTGGCGACCTTCACGCCGTTGGAGAGGGTGGTGATGTGGGTCTCAGGGCGGGAGGAGGGGGCTGGGGCGGGGGTGGGCAGCTGCACGCCGGGCAGGGGGTCGGTGAGGGGGGTGGTCACCCTGTTGGAGCCACCGAAGAGGCCGGACAGGAAACCCTTCTCTGCCGTCTTCGCCAGGGCAGGGGCAGCCGCCTGGAGTCCGGTGCTGGTGGAAAAGCATCCCCGGCCCAGAGCCTTGGCGGGCTGCTCCAGCCCACGCAGCAGGGACATCGCGGGCGGTCCTTCGGGGGTGCACCCTCAGCGATTCAGGCCAGGCGCCCAGGGTCGCACGATTCCGTCCTTCCACTTTGAGTCTGCTCACTGAAATGCAGCAGACAGGCGACAGGATTGCAGGATGCGAGGGCTCCACTGTCAGCCCGTGCCAACCCAATGACAACGCTGGGGCACGGGGACAAATGTGGGGGGCCGAGCTGGTCGGGGACCCGGCCAACGCGCGAGGTTGGCCAGACCCGAGTTTGCTCGCAATACGCTCCAAGGAGGTCTGCCGACGGCCCACGCCCTACCAGTGCCGATCTCCCGTTCAGCCGGCTGACCAGGGGCATCGCATTCTGCTGGTCCCCCACCCCTCCCAGATCAGATGGACAATAGTCAAAATCCATTCCAGGCACCCTCCAATCCTTTCGGCGATCCCTTTGGCCACGAGGCCAACGTGCAGACCTACCAGCCCCCCAGCATCCGGTCAGGGGCCTGGAACAGCGCCGATGAGGTGGCGGGCCTGGGCGAGGACGACACCTATGGCGAGCCCTTCTCTGCAGCGCACCTAGCTGCCGCACACGAGGCTGCCGTGCCCGCCATCGTTACCCCTACTCCCGCCACCCAGCCCCAGCCGGAGAAGCCCTCTGTGCCCCTGGCCTTCACAGGCGAGCCCGGGAGGGCTCGGGGACCGATGTTGCAGGGTCTTGGGCAACTCTCCCTAAATCTGGCTAGGCCCGCGCATGCTTCCTCACCCCTGTCCTCGCCCTCCCATACCGTAGATGCCACCTCCTCTCAACAAGACATCTCTGGCAGGATCGGGCCGGGCCCTGCCTCCTTACACGCCCCCCCCCGCCCGGCTGGGGTCAGGGCCGCCGGCCTATGGCGTCAGCCTGCTCCCCGCTGGCGTACCCCCCAGCCTCCCGCTGCCCGGGCGGGGAGGCCCCGCAGACCTGGAGGACCCCACCAAGTACCCCTTCTACAACGTCAGGCGGTACCGCACCTACTTCAACGTCGACACCAGCGACGTGCTGGGGCGCATCTTCCGCGCCATCGCCCTCTTCTTCAAGTCCGACTTCCACGAATTCATCTCCCCCAATCCGGACCTGTATGGACCCTTCTGGGTGGCCACCACCCTCGTCTTCGTGTCGGCGGTGACGGGGAACTACGCCTCCTACCTCGCATGGAAGCGGAGCCACGCCGGCGACGAGGCCAGCACCGGCTGGTACGGCGACATCAACAAGGTACGCGAAGGGAGGGGGCGGTGGTGGCTCCTTGTCGACGTGGCGGGAGGGGATGGGGAGGCGTCCTGTCCCCTGAACCATGTGCCACCAGAGCTCCGAGACCCAAGCGCGCCTTGCCCGCGCCGAGACCAATGCACGCATTCCAGACCGCCCCCCCCCCCCCCCCCCCCCCCCCCCCCCCCCCCCGCGCCGGGTGGGCCTCT